GAGGCCAGGTACCTCACTGCTGGGACATCACTGGGACAGCTGCAGGCTGAAGCAGTTCCTGGGCTGCTGTTCCCTCTGTTTAGAATGGTACTGCGGCTCATCAACCCAGAGAGAAAGGATGGCTGAAGGATTCCAGAGGTGCCAGGCTGGCTCTAGAGAACAGTTCCTCCTTAGTCTGAGCAGCAGCCTGGAGTGGCTTAGCTGATCTCCCACCTTTCCATGAATATGGCCTCCCACTTAGGTGCATCTTATCCTGACCTATTTGCACCGGAGTCAGACCCTATCTATAGTCTGTCTTGGAGGCTGACAAGGATTTAGAGCATTTTGTGAACTACTGGATTAAAGGTAGACTGCAAATGCCTAATATAAATATGAAGAAAGGGCACTCATGAGTAGAGATAGGCCAGCTATAAGTGATTCACGGAAACAGAAAGAAAGAAAGAAAGAAAGAAAGAAAGAAAGAAAGAAAGAAAGACAATCTTTGCCTCTGTATCACTCCAGCATGGTAATGCAGTGCAACTTACATTATCGAGCTAGACAGACAGAGTTTTGCTGTCTTTGATTATCTACATATTGCAAAGTGTGGACATGCTTTAACTGATACAGAACAAAAGCAAGATTTCTTCAACAACAACAGAACCAAAATGAAGGCCATCATCCAAATGGTCTTCTTGTATGAATCATGAAGGACTGTCAGTCTACCATCTATGAGTGACACCAAAAGTCTGCTGTGACAAAAGCCGCATTCAAATTTCAAGTGGTTTTGAAAGTACTCAAGAATGGAACTAGATTTCCATCTTGTTCTATATAATTTTCATGTTTACTCCAGATAGACTTCTCTCTGTTCTCTAATTCTGGAGATGCTATAGATGGGCCACCTTAACAAAACAGGGAAAAATGAAAGTTAGAAATGTGCATTGCCAGTCACAAAGGCTTAAATGTTTTCCTTCAGGAAGACCATTGAAAGCCTCATGACACTGTGGAGTTCAGAACAATAGCAAGCAGTTTTATGGCAACTGTGGTCATATGGGGATGGCATTAGCTAATGTAACAATAACAGTAACCTACAATTATAGAATGCTAGAGCTGGAAGGGGCCAATGAGGCCCTTGGGTCTAACCCCCGACTCAGCACAGGACTCGGATTTAAAGCATCCCTAACGATGGTCATCCAGCTGAACTGGAATGCCTCCCTGGGTGACTGGTTCCTCTGCCTTATGGGAATAAGGAAAACATAATAATAGCAGTAATACTAGGAAATAAGGTCTCGCAGGAGAAATGGGCAATCAGTCTGACACTTTTTTCCCCACCCCATTTCCGCTCCTCGAGAAGAGTCACAAGGAAACACAGCAGTGTGATTGCCCGAAGTGGGCCTGCTGCAGCTAGTGCCTGCCAGACTGAATTCTCAGGCAAATGGGCTATGGTAACAGACTCAGACAACAGTGCCTGCTGCTGAATTGCAGTGAAACTTAGATATAGCATCCACCTCTCATGCTGGCTGCATTTTCTGCCTCACTGCAAGTGCTGAGCAGTCTGCTGGAACGGTCCCGTCTTTTAACATCAGCATTTCTAAGGTGTTCTATATCAAGTTCCTGGAAGCTCTGAAAGTGTGTCTTCTCCTAGTGTGTCAGGCTGAGGGATAGTCAAAGGCCTGCAGAAGTAAACCACTTGGATCACTAGCTGGTCGCTATCCTAATCTGGCTTCCAGTTTCCTCTACATTTAGCCCCTTTGAAATCTATTTTCTTCACTATTAATATTGCTACTCTCCTGTGGGAAACAGTACACTAAGGAGGGGAGGTTGGAGGAAGAAATGCCACCCACAACCAGTAAGAATTTCAAACATCTTCTTGTATTTCAGTGTTTCGGTCCTAATTCCCCTAATACCACCTTCACAGGAAGTCTAGATAAAAGGTAAATTCATAAGGAATAATATTGTTCTGAGCAGTATACCTCTACTGCCTTCAAAATAACAACTCTGGCTTTTAAATCATTACCCACTGAAGAAGAACTGCAAGGGTGCCGGGTCCTGTTTCTGTAGCTTGTTCAGAAGACACTGAGGATTTAGCCCAGGCTTCCCCAGCCAGATGTAGTCCCAATGGGTGAAATGGGAGCTGCAAATCAACCCATCAGGAGGATACCAGGTTGCAGGGTGGGGGGGGCAGTGAATTAGATATCAGATGAATGCTTTTGGCTGAGCACTGAGACTGTGAGGGGCTTTAATTAAAAAAGAACTTTGAAATGAAACGTTTCTCCTTCTCAGACCTTCCCAGCCTGGTTGCCTTCTCCTTGAGCCATTTCCCTCTTGTATCTTCATCCCCTTCTTTATTTGTTTGCTAATTCTGAGCCTCTGGGTAATAGCATTGATAGCAGTAATATGAAGAGGAGAGCAATTTATTGGACACAAACACCCCAGATGTTCATGAATTTCTGTTCCAAAATTACGAAAGCTTATACTTTTTACTGAGTCTGAACACTGGTCCAGCTTGTGCACCATTCTGACACATGTGAAGGGGAGGAAGGCGGGCATGAGCCCAACTGATCAGTCAGATTGTGGTTATTGTGAAACTTTCCAAGGCTTGAAACAGAGAAGGTTTAACTAGGGGAGCTAGAACTGAGTTGTGGCTCGCAATTCCAACTAGGAGGGAGTTTGAACTGTGCTGCAAATCCAACAGCACGTCAGAGAAGTTCCTGGAGCACTGGTTTAATACGCCCCATGGACCCATCTTCTGCAGGTCATGGAAGGCTGGATGTTGCACCAGCTACAGCCTCTCATTACATCTATGCTATTATTTAAATAGTGTCCTTTATGAAGTGTTAATATTCAGTGGTTCTCTCAATGCCTCTAAGTACTTCACAGTCACACTCATTCATTTTTACATCCAGTGAGGTTGTTGCCATTAAATTAGAGTGAACATGAGAATATAAAAAGGCTACAACTCTGTAGCTCAAACAGAAGAGTCACTTCCATCCAGAATTTACTTAGCACATACACTACCTCTACGCCCAGAATGTCTCAAATCAGCCACTCCTTCAACAAGATGCAGAACAAACTGGGAGGCAGGAAAGCGCTGAGAGGAGTGGATACAATGATGTTAACATGCATCTGAAGTAAACCACAATGGTTATTCCATTTTATGGGAAGGTTCCATACAGGAAGGTCAGAAGATTTATCTCTGTTTATCAGTGTCCAGGAGACCTTGACACACACGACTTTCAAAGGCAGGGCCTTATCAGGAAAAACCCACAATTACAAGCATATGGAAGGGCAGGCATCACCCACTGAGAAGAAGGTCTCAGTCCTATCTGATGTTGCCTAAGTCACCTTGGTCCCTAAGCTGAGTACATGCCAAAGAGCAGACTGACTGATGTTTTGAAAAATCTCCATATGTGCAGAGACGCTGAAATTACGAAGAGGGGAAAAGATGCCGGACAACTGTGTGGCTGGTTCAGGAGTTGCCTCCCTATGATGAAGTAACGAGAAAGAATAAGAACAGTGCTGGGCAGCAATGTTCAAAATCATGGATTTTGCGGGGAAGGCATGGGAATCATAGGGAACTGAGGATACTTGGGCTGTGGCAAGAATGCCCACAGCAGACAACTTTCAACATATTTCCCAAACAAGAGGCTATCACTGATCAGCACTAAATGCCATTTTGTCATAATGCCAGGTTTTAGACGCTGACCCTATTCTGACCATCCTGCAAACCTTGATGTGAAGGACGATAAATGAGCACACACGGGGTCTGGTTTCTGTCGTGGCTTGTTTGGTTTTCTACAAGATGGCGGGGCCGGCGGGGGGGGGGGGGGTGGCGTTGCTGTGCTGCTTGTGATCTGCCCACAAAACACTTGTGACTGGAGAGATTTAAATTGCCCCTTGTTACAGGCTGTGACCAAAAGCTTTAAAGTCCCTCTGCTGTGCAATGCAGGAGCCTGCTTGCTTCAGCTCACCAGTCAGGCTGTGGTTAGTGTGAAATGCCTTACAGTAAATTAAACAATAATTCAGGCTTCCAACCACCTTAGAAAATGCCCATTCCTTACCCTCTTCATCAACTGCTCTCCCCCCTCCTTTTGAGAAGTTATGCCTGGATAAGTAACAGAGACAAGCTCCCGGAAAGACAGATGCCTCTGCACTACCTATATTTACCTGCAAATTCCAGGTAGGGGGGTATGTGAAGTGCCCATTCAGCTTACATGGGGTAATGGTGCCTTCAGTGCCGGGTACTGGCAGATTCAGTGCCTGGGATTAACTGAACGAGTACCATGAATATAACCCACAATCTTCTGCAACACACAGGTTGTTGTACTGGGCAAATTGATGTGATTTATTTCCTAAAAGGAACAACGTTTGGGGGCAAAGTGTCTTGAAGGAAGTCTGCTATAAAGCAAAGAAACTCTGATGAAGATATATAACCTAGCAGAGAGGTTCCCTAGTCCACCAATGGAAAAATACTGTCTCTTTTTCACAGCTCAAGACAAATGTCATCCTTTCCCCTTCTCCTCTGAAAACCAGTGCTGCCTTCTGTCCTTGATCAATAATACATGTCTGATAATCCGAGTAAGATCAGCCCTTTAAAGAAAGCCTAGGCTTAACAAGGTGAGAGGGAATTCAAACCGATCACTTTTGCCTCCTAAGTTGTTCTGGTACTTAGAAAATATCACTTTGCGGAGTGTAGAATTTGGAGAAGCTGGTCTTGAAGTGGAACCTGAGTTTTAATCTATAACACTGTAGAAGAGATTAATAGTCAGTTTGATGCAATGGAGTTGTAGTTCTAAGAGTTTTCTCAGCTCTACTACTGAAGTTGGCAAGCTTATAAAAGCAGTGTACAACCCATTCATCAGCAGCTTCCATGTAAAGCTTTATGGCACACAAATTGACATAGTAATTTTTGCTATTCTGTGCAATGGCATATTCACTGGGCAGAAATACATTGACAACTCCACCACAATTTGCAACCCATATTAAATTGATATGCTGGCTAGAGAAAGAATCACAGTAATTACCCTCTTAGATTTCTTTGCAGCTTCTTGGTGTCAGAGGGTTTCGGAGGAGTGGATGCTTTTTGGCTTGCCATGATTATTTCTTGAGCCTTGGGGAAAAGAAAACAAGTTATGATGTTGTGATATTCTGCAGGAGAAGAAAAAAAAACATGGAAGTACAATGTGTTTGCTTAAGTTGAAATCCTTTGTAGCTAAGTATTTGTGTTAGGGAGCAAAAACTGTCTTCTCACATTAGTTTCAGGCATTGGAAGACACATGCTTCTAGACACTGGGGTGTCAGAGAATGTGATTGTATAATTGGACCTCGAAACAAGAACACGTGCCCTCTCTAACTACATCTCATGCCTTTGCTTGCTTACATGCATGCACTCGGCTTTAGTTGGGGGTGGGTGCTCATAAAAGCACTAATGAAGTTGGTTGGCTTGAACTTCCTAACTTGCTTTGGCCTGTGTTTATTTCCTCTAATGCTGAATGCTGTGTTAGTATGCTGTCCCTGCATAGAGCAACCATGCCATAAGTCGCACCAGAACTTCCAATGGCCTCGCCAATCCCCATGTGGGGTGAAAGCATGGGAAGGCAGGCCACGACACGAGCCAGCACCAGTCCGGCCTTCATTTTGCTGGAGAAGTTCCTTTGTTCTCCCTCTTCACCCCCATAACACAGCATCCCATTTTCCCACCCTGCCTATGTGGGTGTGGGAATGGATTCCCATCCTTTCCCACCATTCCAATTTTAATAAACCCAGACCAAAATATCAGAGTAGGAGCCCTATGAGTCTGCTTCAGTAAAAGCAAAAATAAAGAAAAATCCCTTGAAGCAGAGATGGACAACCCCTCGACCTTCAGATCTTGTTGAATGCCAACTTCAATCAGCCCCAGCAAGGTTGCTTTTAATTATCGAGGATTATGGAAATCAGGGTCCAACAGTATCGAGAGCGCCTTGGGTTGCCCATCCTCTGTCCTAGAGACCAAAACTGCAATCCTATACAAACTTCTGTGGAAGCCAGGTTCACGGAACATGGTGGGACTTCTCGGGAAACATGTATAAGGTTGCATTATGCACCTGCAGTCCAATGCATATTTACATCAGAGTATGATCCCAGGAGCTCAGTACAACTTCTGAGGAAACAGGCATATGATGCTCTGTCTTGCTCATCTTACATGATGCACTTATAGTGTTGCCTGCATTGTAATTAGAATAAATTTTAATAATGCGTTATAAATGTGATTTAATATTTATGCATGATTAACTTAGGGACATTATATAAAGTGTTATATCATGCTAATGAATAATAATAATAAACTGTTGTGAGAAAGAGTTATTCAAAAGACAAACTTTAAATCTTAATTTAAAAAATGATTAGTTTCCTCAAATAGTTGTCTTCCATTTTTTAAATTTTCCTCTTGAATCAGCTGAGCATCTGGTGTTCTAACAAATATTTTCATGTTGAAGTCAAGAGAAGTTGCTTTTTCAGTGGATTTTTATGTGCTTAGACTCACCTGGTGAATGGTTTAATGCATGTTCCAGACACAACTCAGCACAGTTTGAACCAAGATATGTTAAGTCACACTTTGGACCTGGGTTGGACCATTCACAAAACCAACACAGCAGCTGCACAGCAACTCTAAGAATATATAAGAAGAGCCAGGCTGCACGCGATCAACGGCTACCTAGTCCAACCTCACTGTTCCCACGGTGATCAGCCAGATGTCTTTGGAAAGCTTGCAAGCATGGCATCTAAAATGGCCTTCCAACCTATGTAAAAGCTTTAAGTCTTGTTCTTGGTTAGCTACATGATGAAAAATGTCCAGTTCCATTTGTCTGAAACCTTTTGCTGCCCTTATTACTTGCTCTGGGATGAAGAAGGAACATCAATTTTTAGACTTAATAGAAGCGTGTCTGGAAACAGGCAACGTTTTCATTTGCTTGATGTAGAAATTTATTCTCTGCAAGATCCTAACTACCCCAAGGTCAGCAGAAAGGCAAGAAAGGAAGAAAAAAGGAACGAAAGAAAAGATGTGGAAGCTCTGGAATGGTGAAGCAATAAGGAGGCTTACATGAAGAACAATCAAATAGGGCATGGCTGGATCAGTGCAACAGGGAGTTAAGTTATTCTTGCACTGCATGAGCGGTATGGACCACCTAGATTTACGGGACACACACAAACGTGCACACACAATCTTTTTAAAAAAGCTTAAGGCATGCGTTTCCCCACTGCACCCCCATGAACAGCCACTGAAGATAGAACCTGATTAGTAACTGTGGCAAGAACTGGAAAAAAAATGGAACAGGAGTGAAGTGCCCTTGTTAGAGGGAATCACTTGCTATAGGAGCACTTCTTTCAGAAAGAGGATATACTGCAACATTTTGTTGTGGGTCCAGCTTGGGAAGAGAATCACCCTCATCTACTCGGAAGAGTTGTTTGCCTTATAACTCTTAGATGTAAAGTGTTTTGTACTCTAGCTACACAAATGCTTATTGTTACTGATTTAAAGCAGAGGCTGAAAAGCAGCTTTTGTGGCATGTAGAACTGGTTTTCTTGGCATATTTCAGAAGCATGATAGAAATTATTTAAAATGGAAAGTATTATGAGGGCTATTGGGACAAGGGGCAGCAATCCACAGTATTTTTGCAAAATAGAGTAAGTTTAAAAACAGCAAGGATGTTTCAAAATGGTGTGTTAAACTTCTTTCTCTTTCTGAATACCAAAGGCAAAATTATAAATGCATAACATACATTTCAGCTGATGCAAACATTCAAAATATCCATCCATGAAGATTCTAAATCAGGATTTTTTTGCCAAAGGCATCCATAAAAACCCTAATAGATACACATTTTAAGAGGATTTTGAATGTTTTGGAGAAGTGGATTTTGGTCAAAGGAATAAAAATTTCGGCACACTTCCAGGTACTGATGAAACTGCAAACCTGCCATTACAGATGCATGATTCAAATTAATGAGGGGCCTAGCAAAGCAAGACAGATGGTATGAACTTGAAGGAGACTGGCTACATACATCTCAGATGAGAAATCTCATTTAAAAAAAGATTTAAGAACAAATGCAAAAAAAAATGCAGAGAAGGAGTACACTGTGTTGCTAATGCCTTCCATTAACAGGGAATTAAGTTAGGAGGGAGGCAAGGAAGGAAGGACAGCATCTTGATGCATCAATTTTTCAAGGAATCAGGCTCAATGAAGAAAAATATGGCCTGGAGGCAGATGGGAAGTTGTTTGCTACACAGCCAGCTCTGGGAGCATTCCAAGTTGGGGCCACCATGCCGCTGTAGAATGAAAAAGCTCCACTCGTAGTATCAGCTTTTAATTAACTTTTAAGGGAACAACACTACATAAGAAAGAAAATTTTTTTTCTAGACCTTATGTTTGCTGGAAAAAAGAGGAATACATGTTTATCTTGTTCCCCTGACACCAAAAGCTTTTTTTCTGGCAGCACTTCCAGCAGTCAGAAAACATTTTAGTGTCCTTTAGTGTCCTCTCCTTTACTATACTGCTATAGCAGACTTCAGGTGTGTGGGACCCACTTTATTTTTATGGGAATCCTGAGGTTCCCCAGTGGCAACCAGATGCGAAATATTTTTTAATGGTGTCACAACTCAGGCTGCAGCAAAACCAACTGGTTTAGCCCTCTGTTTGCCCTTCATCACTGCCACCAGATGAACCTCCCCATTTTTTCCTGTCTTCCCCACTAAAACCGTCCTTTGTGACTTCATTAATGTTCCAGGCAACGTGTGCAGCAGGATGGCAATGGGCCGCCAACAAATGAAGCTTTATGAAAGGCTGTGAAAGGCAGCAATTAAACCACTAGAAGTATTCTCCCCCCAGGGGCACAAATTAAAACAGTTTTAGAAGTTAATCATAAGAGTAATTGAGGATATGAAAAGAATATGAGAAAACTCATCTAAATAAACTTTGTCTAGACTGATTCCCTACTTTAGCCAATACTTAGGGAAAAGGCCAACACATTCTAGTCCACTGGTGGTTCAGCTTCCAGAATTCCTGCTTCCAGCCCTGCTTCTTTTGCTCCTGGAGCCTGCAACACCCTCCAGGCTGTTTTTTCTGGTTTCTATTGCTCTCTCCCTATCTGCTTTCACCTTCATTTATATACACTATTATACCCATCAGAAGAACAGTAGAGTTTTGCTAAGTTTCTGGTTCCCATAGTAATACATCCCCCCGTGTGCGCACACACGTTTCCTGGGCTGACTCATTGAACCATTTCTGAACTTTTGAACCTTCTGGCAAGAACAGCCTCTGAATACTGCAATATCTGAACAAAAAGCATCCATTTTATACGATGGCTGAATAGTTTCATTTCCTCACAGGGGCATGTGGAGCTATTCCCTATTGCACCCCAAGGACTGTTCACTGTGATGACCTGTTCGTACCTGTATTTATGTTATCTAGGTGAGGAATTCTAACACCATCCTTCATATAAGAAATGCTTGAGGGTGTGCGTGCGTGTGTGTGCATGCATTTGTGTGTGCATGTGAAGAGCCAGGGGTCAGGAACTCTTGCTAATCGGCAAATTATCCCACTCTCTATCGGTTCCAATTACAGCAGGACTCCTGTATCTGCAGGGAAAGGTTCCAAGCCCCCCCAGTGGATGCCAGAAACCGTGGATAATAAAGAACACCATATGTACTATATATTGTACATATACGTTTTTCTTTCTTCACAATTTTACAGATAGAAGATTTGTTCTTACCATACAATCACAGCATACAATTCTTATTCTTTTTCTATTAAATCAAGAATGTTCACTTAAAGGAAGCACTTTACGATTTCTCTTTGGCACTTTACGGCACTTTACGACTTCTCGTGCAGACCGAGGTCAGCTGCGGTTAAGTGAAAATGCCAAAACTGAGCCGGCAGGTATGGGAGTCCTGCTGTACGCAACTTTTTTCCCTTCATTCTCCTGCTCTTTGATCCTGTGTCATGAAATCCCAGCCAAGAAACATTCAATCCAAAATCTGAAATCTTGAATCATGGGAAGGAAATATACAGAGGGAGAAGGGCAAAATCACGGCAAAACTGTTTGTTTTCATTTTTAAAACATCTCTGTGGGTGTTGGGGTGGCTGGGAAGTGCCTCAGACATGCAGGCATGCTCAGAAGACAGAAGGAGGGAACCCACCTAAGGACTGCAGAGGGAAAGATGAAGGCTTCGCTCAAGGATGCTGCCAGTATGCATGGCAAGGATGGGAGGATGCAGCAGGGAGCATGGAAACCATCCTGCCTGGGTAACCACAAGAGCACCTGAGCAGTACATTCAGGCAAATCATGGAAACAGCACAGGGTTGTTTGCCATGTTGTGTGAAACCAGCCACTGAATGAAACTCCCAAGGAGCTCTCTGGAGGGAACAGCTCACAAGCTGGTCATTCTAGCCAAAGATCTAAAGAGCAAGCCATAGTTTAGTGTTTGAGCACCTAATTTACATGCAGAAGTCCCACTGATTTAACCCTTCTCCCCACCATGCACACCTTTTTGTGAGGAAACCATGCTCAAGAACGGTAAAAGGATCTTGGGTAGCAGGTCATAGGATAGACTTCTGAAATTTTGGAAGGCTGCTGGGACTCAAGAGTAGACAATAGCGGGCTAGATAGATAAATAGCCTGACCTAGTATAAGGCAGCTTCTTATGTTCCTAGTCTACTAAAAATAATCATTGACTGACCCTGACAGGGCTTCTTTGCAAATGCAAGACCTCAAGTTCACAAAGGTTATCCTGTGAAAAGACTCAAAGGAAGAACCAACTTAACAGCACCCTGGATTAACAGCTCTGAAGGTATGATTAAAGGAGCAGCCCCTTCGGAAAGGAGCCTACCATAACTTGACTACCCATCTCATGTGGTACCCCTCTTTTGTTGTTTATATGGTTCCTTCATGTTTGATGTTGCCCACAATCTTTGCATGAGAAGGAGGTCCTGTAAGGGACATTTTATCACGATATTTGCAATGCAGAGAGAAAAGAAGGTACAGAGCAAGGAAAAAAGAATGCGGACAAAGCAGGTCAAATGGAAGGTGTACTTTAGCAACTCTGATGAACCCTTTATCCTACCTTTGGCAGGCTGATAACCAAATGCCCAGTTGTCTGAGATCTTCTAGCAGTGCTACTATCTGGCTTGACTTCTGCTGGAAGTACAAGCTGAAATGGCTAAAAAACCCAAAGATTAAAAAATCATGTTATTTGACACAGCAGTAATTTTAAAAATTGTAAATTTACCAGATGTATTTCTCTTGGCTTATGGAAATATAAAGTACGGTTTAAAAGAATAAAAGATTTCTGACCCACATAGTAAACATGTGGTAATATGAATAACTTGTCTTTGATCTGAATAGATTTATTCACTTAAATCTCTCTTGTGATATATATTAATACCAATCTAAATGGATGATTTGCATTTTAAACAGTCTTCACTTACACTATAAGTACTATATGCATGCAAGTGTGCATAGATTAGATTTTCCTTCAATGTTGTTGTCACTGAAAATGTGAGATTTATAAAGAAGGTTACATGGTGCTCAAGTTATGCTGGCATCCAAATGAGAATAATTTTGCTCGTCTATTTTAGATGGAAAGCAATTTTAATTTGCACTTCGTAGTATGATTACAAATAGGCTTCTGATGTTTAGCTTAACTTAATAGCACTGGGTTAAAATATGAAGAAAATGAAAGATCTTCAGGGATTAGAAGAAAACTGTTCAACTGTCTGTTCACAGTAAATTTTATCTCTTAGGATGAGGCATTTTTTGTCTCTAAAGGGTTACTTTAAAGTTGCCTCAAATAAAGTTAATTTTAGCAAGAACTTGTTGTGAAAGGAGAACTTGACTTTCAGCAGCAGCATCCAATACAGAATGGCAACTGCATTTTGCAGACACAGTGGAAAACCCCTGGAAAGACAATGCCCTGTGTGAAGGATGCCTTAATCTCCTACAAAGAACATGGAAGCAGCAGCCTTGCTAAAGCCCAGGGGTATATGCCTCACATAGAGAAGTCCATGTTTTCAGTCTCATCTTGCATCACCACCACCACCAGCAGCAGCAGCCATACTATTCCTGTGCAGCAGCAGTAGCCCTTCCACTGAGCATTTCTTCTGTGTCCTATCGAGGCCTGGATTCAGCCAAGAAGCTTCCCAGGCGGTGCAGCCCACTCTAGTGTGTTCCGGATCTCACTCCCTCCACTCTCCCAAGATCCTTTGCTTTTGCCCCCTTTGCTTCTTTCCCCCTTGCTAGCTCCATTGCTTTGCTCCATGCAGCTCCCAGTGCCTGAGGCAGCCGTTCTCTCTCTGGACACGCTGCCCTTCTCCTTTACTCCAAACCTACACAGCCAGTCACAGCAGTGGAGTGAGCCAAACGTCACACATTAAAGGGGGAATGAAAATCGGAAACAGAAAGCGCAATTAAATTAAATGGCCACATGTTGCTGTTATTTCTATTTTATAACTCAAAACAGCCTCAGCAATGAATACTCACCTTTCCCTTGACCATTACTCGGATATACGTAGGCTGTATATCAACATCAAGCAGGGAGGTATCCAAATGTCTTCAGAATAATAATAATTAAAAAAGAAAGAATCCATTTAGCTTAGTGGTTCTTGGTCCCCTCCTGGCATGTGTTGAGTTTATGTCAAAAGGTATAGGGGTTGGCCACCAGTGCAATCCAGAAGATCACTTAAATTATGCTATGTTCTTTAATTTTGAGAATCACTGGTACAAGCCTCTATCTTTTGCAAAAGATTTAGCTTCAGATAGTTTAGAGCTCAGTTTTCCTGTTCTTCTGAGCCACTGAAAATAGTGGGTGCTCTTTGTATTTGAATTCTGTATTTATGACAACAAAGAGGCCTCATAAGGACTAACACATTTATTGCAATGTTAGACAGGGAAGAATCCATAAAGAGATTTACTTCTAAGTAAGCATGCAGTTCTTCCTCATGTAGGGAGAAGGGGAAGGAGAAGCAGTATTGTATCTGCTCTCCAGGTGAGTGGGAAAGTCAGATAGAGAGAAGCTGGGGGTTACGGGAGGTGAGGAAGCAACTGTAGGTTGTTTGGGCTTCTCTCCTTCTCAGAGCTGCTGCTGTTTTGCTGAAGCCAGGCAGGTTACTTCCTCTCACAGTGCCTCTCACTCCAGCCTAGCAGACTAGTGAAGCCTCCACTCCTCCCCACTCAACAGTACCACAAGTTTAGCATATGCTGGGATATGTAACTGCGGAAAACACAATGTATAAAAATGTCTTAATGCAACTGGTCTGAAGAAATCCCAGGTATAATGGCAGAAATAATGGGAGGAAGACCATTTGGGGTGAGCAAAAGGTGACACACCCATGAGTCAGGCATTGCGATAGCAATAAAAACCCCCAGTGCAGATCCTCCTGTGCATACCTGAGGTTCTCTGTCTGAGAGTAACCTGGCAGAAAATTCTCAATACACTGAAACTAGTGATGCTGGTTAATCATTAGGAAAAAAGGGCAGCAATAAGAATAAGCAACAAGGAAACCAGTTCTGTCGTGCGCCAGGACTCAGACTGCATGAACATTCATGTCTGTTTTAATATTCCTGCAGTAAGACAACCAAACCTGCAGTTCAGTAGCATCATAAACAGGCAAGGTGTAATGGGATCTCCTGTCTCTGTGCTATTTTTTATGATGCTGGATGTGCATATTGGGTGTGGATGGGAAGTGAGACTGACAGCGGCTGTGTGTGCAGTACCCCTCTCTCCTGAGGCATTTGATCTGATGTAAATTGCCCCTCATTCTGTAACACCGATGTGTGGCCAATTAGGAAAAACGCAGGGGTACGCTCAGCAACTTGTCTAGTTTAATCCTGATCACTTCCTGTTGGCACTTTAATCCTTTCCACTGTGTACAGGAAAATGCAAATGAAAAACCAGATTAAGAGTTTTTGCTTGAGTAATGTCTGCCTCTATTCAAAAGATGCAAATAAAATAATTCATGCTGACCTGTAAACAGCGAGATCCAGGATGAACTGGTTGTTTTCTTCATCATCTTTCAAGGAGAAAGAAAGCCTGACAATAATAGCAAAAGGATTTGCATAGGATAAATGCAAAAGAGTGAAGTGAAGTATTCAGACTTAAACCGACAGGGGTTTTATAGCCATGCTGACATGGTCTACTAGTTAACAAGACACACATCCTTCTCTCAGTATATCTGCAGAATCCTGAATAAATATATGAACAATGTTCTACTTTATTGCTGGTTTTAAGTTGAAAGATAATGGAAGATGACACAATTTCAGTTTAATTCAAAGCTACATATTCATGCTAGAAGAGAGACACCTGCTGGTAAAAAGCTAAGTGGGAAGGATAATGTTTATATCTTATCTAAATGGAGTAAACTTTTATTTTGCTAACTTCTTTTCATGCCCCATTATTTTAAGGAATTTATAAAGCTATGAATTATACAACAGACTGACACACTGGAGGAAACCATTCAGATCAGTAGCTAAATGACAGCAGGATTTGGGATAGGAACATGGGAAATGGCCTTACATTAGACAAGACTATTGTAAAATGCCCTTTCAAAAATTAGTGCTACATTGGCCAATCGTCAGTCCTCCAATCTTTATTTGTAAGAATGCCAGCAATTTCATATGTGAGTTCCTTGAGAACTATAGGACTGCTGCAGTGATTTATCATTTTTCAGTTTGTCAGTAAGGTTGAAATTTTTCATCTTTTGTCAACATGATCTGCATAGTTCCTCAGAATCCCTTTCTGAATATGTAACAGGAACACAGATTGATCCTGTATTCTCTGCTGTGAAGAGAGATGAAAAGAATTCATTCTTCTTATTCTCCTTTACTAGTTCTTTAACTCCATTATCATGCGATGGTCCAACCGCCTCTCAAGGTGGTTTCTGAAAGGATTCATTTTTGTTGGCCTTGATGTTGTTAGTGATAGCCTTCTCAAAATGCTGGTTTGCTTCTCATATCACCTGCTTGCATTTCCTTTGTGCAAGCGTCTGCTCCGTTTTCTTCCTTTGGGCAAGACTTTCATTAGAATAAATTTCGTGCATTAATCTAGTTGGCACAAATACATCTGCGTTGCTCTGGCTGAAAAAACAGTTTGATGCTTTTGTTTTTGGTCATGTGTTTGAAGGAGGGCTCTTGAGGGTCATTATGAAGGGCATTCCTAGATGTTTTAAGGAATGAGTAGGTGCTTTTTCTTGGAGAAAAGTCCTCCTTTCTAGACAAAAGAAGCTTCTGTCAAATCAAGGGATCACAGAAACTTACTCTTTTTCAATGAACTTTGTGTAATTTTAGATTTGGACTTTCAGATTCCTGCAGCCATTGAAGTTCCCTTTGTTACACTTAAACAAACTGTGACATTGCACAGCAGTTTCTGTTTCTCACCAGTTTGTATAACAAATCATCAAAATGTGTTCCTCTGCATGAATCCATCAAAAATATAATAATACCTGTCATTCAGTAACTGTCGAAGAGAATAAGCAATGGCAAGCCAAATCATATGCCGGAAATAGCATGGATTGTTTAGCGAATGGCCAGCACACCAAGGCTTACTCAACTTATTGCAACATGCAAACCCACCCATGGTGTTTTACAAATAAATAAATCATAGATAAAATCCACCAAACCCTGCCACCCCCTGAATCCTGTCCAGCATCTGAATTTGGGGGCAGAGGATGTAAATAGGAAAATAATAATTTCTCCCTTGTTTTGCCTATGAGATTTTAGGTTCTGTCAAAAGTGTTCTGGTAAATGACCAAAATCCTGCATCATTTAAGCCATTTTTTTTGCTAAAACACAGCTCATCACAGAATCCCTGGATTCTATGCTTATCATTTCTTTTTACATACTTGGGTTCATTTACATTCAAAACTCTTCCCTCTAAGGTGATCAAAGTCCTTGGTGGCTTCTCTTTCTTTGTTTGTTCTCTGTCAAAATACAAAAAAAAAAAAAGAGTTTTTATTCTTTTTGCATTCCTTTCCTTGAGGAAATGAATACGCAAAAGAAAACCTTATGCCAGGTATATATAAAAATGTATTTGCTTTAGTATTGAGAAAGGGCAGGATGATATATTGCTTTACAGAATAAAACTGCAGACAGTTAAAATGCTATTTCTGCTCGGCTTAATTCTTGGCCACCACATGCCATTCCAAAAAGAGGGATTTTACCCTGTATAAAGGTTTCTGTAACATTCTAGATTTAAATGCCTTGATTTAATGAAACTTGCTTCCATGAGAATGCACGTAGAATCAGGATGGATGTGCCCTTGCTCTTTAAACACAAAAATGGTTGTGAAAGAACTCTTGCATGATTTCAATGTTTGAAATGGCACACAAGCACTCTTGATCAAACAAGCAAGGGTGGGCAGGCTTCAGGATTGCAGTCATACTTTGTTCCTTACCACTACCATGAGATCTACATTCAGAACCTGGTGCAAAGGGCATAAACTTAAAAGTTCAAGAAGCTGTTTGAAGGACCAGAATTGCACAGAGCTCAGAGTCCTTCTGCACAAATACTACTTCTTGGTTTTCTTTTTGGCACTATAATTTAGAATAATTTAGGTCAGGAGAACGCAGAGCAGGGAGTCCCTCCTTTCTGCTGCTATGGCAAACTACTGGAGTCAGAAAGCCTGAGTGATTTACTGCAAGTTGCAAAGAGATCTACGTATCAGGAGAGCCACATCTACCTTTCCCCCACTCCAAAATGTGGGTACTTAAGGCCATCAAGAATTTGTCTTAGAAGAAAGAACACTGATTTACAGACTGGATGTCCTGTCTGCCTCCCTGTCGTCCTCCCCCTCCCCACCCCATCCTCCCAAATCCTTTGCCTTTGCTCTTTGGAGAGCCTGGAAGTTCTGTTTGAAAGTGCCTACAAAGTGCCTGTGTTGTATAACTTGTGAACAGCTGATGCTGGTAATGCATGCCTGTAGGAAGGTTCCTTCCTCAAGCCACTTGCTTAACCTGCACCAGAATACCACTTTGCATACAGAAAGTCCCCAGTTCAATTTCTCACATTAAAGAGCATCTCAAACAGCAGACCTGGAAAAATTTTCCCTGTATCAGGAAATACACAGGAACCAATTCCATGTGGAAGATGCATGGGATTAGCCTCAGCTTTGTAAGAACTGTTGTTAGATAAGAAGATTCCACACAGCTGGGAAAACAGCTGGCTCTTGACCCAGCTCCTGTTTTTCTCCTGCCACAGAATCATTTCCCAGCCTTTTTTTTTTCTTCCACGTAACCTCAATTTCCCATACTTTTGTTTGTATTCAAATCACAGCTTGCTTCCCCCATTGCTCCATCGACCACATCCTCTGAAGCCCTGTAGCACCCAGCAGGAGCACTGACAGAGGCACTTTTATTTATTTGTATTTTTTTATTTAAAGTTTTTCTATGCTGTCCTATTATTAAGAAAGTCTCTGGGTGGCTTACAAAGCATCTGGACAGCTTTCCATAGCATAGGCAACATCTGCAATTAAATGCTGTGTGCATTAGAGAGTATTAGGCATGTTAACTGAAGCTGAGATAGGGTTGGGGAATCAAAAATGGTATTTAGGTGCAAAAGCAAGATCTGTGGCAGATAAACGGAAATCAAGGCAAACATATTCAAGAATAAAACACATGCATTTGCCATTGATACGGGAAACACCTATGAGAATTAAATATACCTATCTTCTTTTGCTTTCCTTTTTTCTTCAAGGTATCTATGAGCTTCTAGCCTCGCCTCTGGAGTATTAGGCACAGGTTCCTCCCAAAAGGCTCTGTCTTCTTCATCATCTTCCTCTGTCACCAATGCATGGTAGTCATTTCCTTCTTCACCCTTTTGAAGGGTCTCCCTCTCTTCTACAGAGTAGCAGCTGGAAAACAACACACAGAAGTACTGACTTTAAAACATGTATTTAAATCACACACTGTTCTTCAGAGCCAGTGCGGCGCAGTGGTTAAGAGCGTGGGACTGGGACTCAGGCGATCTGGGTTCTAGTCCCTGCTCAGCCATGGAGCCAACTGGGTGACTTTGGGCCAGTCACAGGCTCTCAGCCCAACCTACCTCACAGGATTGTTGCTGTGGGGATAAGATGGAGGAGGAGATGTAAGCTGCCTTGAGCCCTTTGTAGGAAAAAGGCAGGAAATAAATAAATAAATAAATAAATATGTTTACAGCAGCCCTTCGTTCTCTAGCTCATGCACAGGCATAAACATATTTCCATTCAGCTATGCAACTGCTAGGCAGCAGTCAGTTGGGCCCAAATATTCTTCCTGGAAGAATGGGCAAGAAAGCTAATGGTCTCCCAGGAAGACCATCCCACGGGTCCTTGGATCTCTGGCTGATGGAAGAGACTGGAGCATGCTGCCCTTCTGTTCGACAGTGCTACAGCAACTGGCAAATTCTATTATATCCAGTTTGATGGGGCAAACATTTAAAAGTCTACTTCCCCAATGTGTATGATACATTTCATCAGCACAGTTTTTGCCTCATGCAAAGGAGAGGAGAGGAGAGGAAGGCTCAAATGAGAAATAATTTTCTTGACCTTATTCATGCCATACCTGGCCCTAGAACTTTCCCTAGAAAGCAAAAATGAGGCTGTCATACTTTGGACATATCATGAGAAGGCAAGACTACCTGAAGAAGACAATCATGCCAGGGGAAGTTAAAGGCGGAAGAAGACAAGGAAGGACAAATAAGACATGGAAGGACTCCATTAAGGGCTCCCAAGTTTATAAGAGGTGAGCTGGGCAGCCATGGACAGGACATTTTGGAAGGCTTCATTCACAGGGTTGCCCTAAGTCAGGGATTACTTGACAGCACATGACACACACACATTTGTGCCAGATGTAGTCAAGGCTATCTCTGCATATGGCAGCCTGAACTAATTGAATTAATTCTGCACTCAGACAAACCAAATTCTGAAGAGCTGGTTTGTGGGGCTTATATATTTAAGCTGAATAAGTTTACAAGATGTCTCATTTAATACTAGTGAAGAGAGCAAATTTCCTCTGAGGGGAGAATGCTCCACAGCCACAGTGAGAGGCAGACATACAACTCTGTTCGTTTCACTGTGCCCTGGAGCACCAGACTGTGTTGGCTCTAAAGCTACACTCTGTCTAGGGATGCCTGCCACCTAATGGCTGATGACTATACTTCCAGATTCAAGCACAAGCATTCCTTTAAATAAACTAATATGAATTCAATGTATTTAGGGTGCACACCTCCGGGGCCCTCTTATTATGCATGTCAAGTTTCAGGTGTCAAAGTATCATAGTCATGGTGCTCAGCATATAAGACCCCTATCTGACCTAAAGAGATGAGTGATGCACAGCCCTTATGCTACTCATAAATTGAATAGGTTTCTTTCAAAGACAGAAAAGGCATCCATATAGAAATATACAAAATAGGTCAATGTAGGCACATAAGCAGAGGAGTTAATGTCAGTGTACCATCCTCCATCAAATCCTGGTTGATGTTTCTTTTGCTTTTCTTTTTTCTTCTTCTCCCATTTTTCTTGATTCCGTCTTTCGGCTTCTTCCTTTTCTTCTCTCCTTTTAAAAAGGTAGTTCTGTTCCTGCTCTAGGACTTGTTTTTCTACTTTAGCATAGTTCTGCAAAGCTTGAATCCTCTCTGATCGCCGTATCTCCTTGCAGTCTAAAAACTTGAAAAGAAAAAATTAAAAAGCTCTAAAATAATCAAGAAGGAGTAGATGGGAGGGGTAAGCAAGTGTCTTGATATGTTTTCCAGTTACATCTGAACTGGGCCTTTTCTTCTTCACCAAATTTCTAGCTATGAAAATAACCGTGTGCACATTAGCTTGCCCAACAGCTGCTTCACATCTCACATTTTGAACTCCTCAAAAGAAAAGCATGTTTTAGATAGGAGGCTAAAACCTGACTGGACTTTGCCCCTCTGCAAGATGAGTGTGCATGAAGCTATGTTTGCACAAGCAGAAAAATGGTGAACGAATACCCACAAGGTGAAGAAAATGGGCCTTTAGCTAATTTTTCTCTTTCCTCTGCCCAAGCAAATACCAGATGAGTTTCAGAAAGAATTTTCATCAAAGAAATCTTAGCTCAAAATCCAGTACCTTCTGAGTCAGATTCACATAACCTTCCAAACTTGCAAACTTACGTGCATCCAATAAGCAGGATGAGAAATGGTAGCAATTTGGAGAGGCAGCCAGCATATGGCTTCTTCCATGCCAGAATAAGAGGCATGGGTTGGGGGCCCAGGCTTTGGAGTCCCAGTTCTGGGGTTACAGAGTGTTGGAGCTAGGACTACGATTCCAATTACTTCTATGACTCAGGAAGCCATAGGATTGTGCCCTTAGTTAATCAATTGTATGAGTATTCATCCACCAATTGCTTAATTTTGCATAGCTTTCAGATTATGAACATATGTGATGCAGAAGGCATCATGTTAGAAATGGCAGCTCCTAAGATGTAGGAAATGAGGGGAAAATACTCTTTCACAAGGATGTTTCCCATCTGCATATATATGTACTTACATTTTCCCTCTCTCACTCATGCTGCTATTATTCAAAGATATTTTTGTTGATTAAAATCTACTCAGAAACGGACTATTCAGAAAGTTCATTAGTATAATTCCCAGGTAAATGAGTATAGGATTGTAGCCTAAATGTTTGTAAACTGTATATCCAGTAGGGTAATCAGTTAAATGTGGTATCCATGCGAGAAGCATTAATCTATATTTTGCATTAATGTGTTCAATTGCCAATGACTGGCTCCTGACAGAAGTGTGTTACCAGTTATATTTTAAATTAGACGTACTTTGAGCTGATGGAGTGTAGCAACCACGAAATCTCTATAGCCGTCAAAATCGGTACAAGGATTTCCTATAAGGAAGAGTTCTTTAAGATGTATATTGTTTTTCAGGACTGCAATATTAGACAATTCCCCAATGAAATTAGCTGTCAAATCCAGCTTCTGCAATTCTTCACAACCTATATTAAAAACACCAGAGGGTTTTTTCATGCATTATTATTTTATTTTAAACTTTCCACATATATGTATCTTTCATCAAATTGAGTGTCAAGAGAAACCTCAAGGGATACCATCCTTGCTGAATTCTATTTTACGAACATAAATGTCACCTAAACAGTTTGTTTCTTGGATAAAATCCCATAAAACAAATGTAACTGAACAGGAGGTTCATTTGAAATGTAAACATGGAAGTTATACTACCTGTATACGCTAAAAAAAATGTCCATTTTTATATCTGGCTTTTGAGTTTCTTGTTGCTACCCACTGTCAGGTTATCTCTGTTATCTGTCAAACCTCTGAATAAGCATCCATCAAACTGTCCAGTCCTTCAAAGCCCTGCTCAACTCAAGGCTGTGGCTTCCTTTATGGAATCCACATACGTCGTTGTCGTCTTTTCCTCCTCCTCCTCCTCCTCCTCCTCCTCGGTCATCATCTTCTTATTATTATTCGCCTTCTTCTTCATTTACTTGGTCTTCTTCTTCATGATCATCTTTTTCTTTGCCGCCACCGCCTCCTCCTTCTCTTCCTCCTCTTCCTGCTTCTTCTCCTTCTGCCTTGTACTTTTCCTAGCATTATTGTCTTCTTCAGTGAGCCTTGTCTTCTCATGACATGCCCAAAAGATGAGATTCAGTTTCATTATTTTTCCTTCCAGGGAAAGTTCTGGCTTGATTTGATCTAGGACCTACTTGTTCATCTTTCCATCAGTCCAGGGGATTCACAAAGCTCTCCTCCAGCACCAGGTTGTAAATGCAACAGTTTTCTTTCTGTCGGTTTTCTTCACTGTCCAGCTTTCATGCCCATACATACTGGTCGGGAATACAGTGGTGTGGATGATCTTGGCCTTGGCCTCCAGTGAAACATCATTATACTTGATGATCTTTCCTTGTTTCTTCACTGCTGCTTTTCCAAGTCAGTCTTCTTCTAAATTCTTGGCTGCATTCTCCACCTGAATTGCTCACTGAGCCAAGGTATGTACAATCTTTCACAATTTGGATTTCTTCATTGCTGATAGTAAACCTGTGTGATTCTTCTGTAGTAAGGATTTTTGTTTTCTTAAGGTTCAGAGCCACAGTTCTGTTTTTGTATTTTCTTCTTTTGCTTTCATCATTGTCTCAGTTCATTGCTGCTTTCTGACAGTAAGAAGGTATCATCTGCAGATCTTACATTATCAATGTGTTTTCTTCCAATTTTTACTCCTCCTTTCCATTTCTAATCCAGCGTCCCTTATATGTTCTGTGTAGAGATGGAACAGATCAGGAGATAAATGCATCCTTGTATGGTAACTTTGCCTATGGGAAGCTATTCTGTTTCTCCATATTCTGCTCTAACAGTAGCTCCTTGTCCATGATACAGGCTCTGCATAAGGACAATCAAGTGCGGAGACACACTGATTTCTTCCAGGACCACCCAGAGCTTCTTGATCTTCAGAAATTCTTTGGTACACTCCAGTAGCCAATATATTTTTGATATGATCTCCAGTGCCTCTTTCATTTTGGAATCCAGTTTGAACACTAACACAACATTTCCAGTGTGGGGGCCACTGTTTTGTTTCTCTTATTTGTGGGTATATTCTTGTTAGGAGTTGGATCTAATTCAATCTCTACAGCTTGAAATAGTTCTATTAGTACCCTATCTATTCCAGGTGCTTTATTCCTTCCATATGCTTTCAGAGGCACTTTCACTTTACTGTCTAATATTGCAGGTTCTTCATCTAAGAGTCCTCTTCAGAGGAATCTGTCATCCTTTTATCTCTTTAGTTCTTCTGTATGCTCTCCTGAGATACTATGCCCCAGCTCAGGTAAAACAAAAAAGCAGGATTTCCTTTTATGTTGACAAGCCATAAAAAGTACAAAGCTAACAAAATGCCCCACTGCTCTTTTAAGTCCATGAGAAGATCAGAAGCTTTTACTTCTGATGCTAAAGTAATCCTAGTTCTGCTTGCTATACAAAATTGGGGGACAGTGGCTTACTTAAATTGTTAGTGGTGTGACCATCCATTTGCTCGGAATATAGTAGACCCAGATGGTGTCAGATTCAAGAGGTATATTGAGTTCATCACAGGCATGTTCTTATATGGTGTGATACCAAGATAGGCTCAGTCCATATACTCAGTCCTTTCTGTAATATGAATTAGTCAAGCTCTAGCCGCCACTTGTTTTACTCTGGCATAAGGACACAGGTTGTGTGAGAGACCTGAAGTGTATCTCCATGCGACTGTCTCTGACCAGTTAGCACATTGTGGATATGAGGAAGCATGCTGTGTCATACTGGAAGAGTCAGCTTCTGCTTTTTCTCCAGCATGCTGTTGTTTTGAATAAAGGATGGTGGTTCGATTCAAAATGATTTTTGTTCATCTTTGACAGTGGGAAATCATCAGGACAAAGTCATGATTTCAGATCCTAGTTTGTTCCCAATTCATAATTTAACCACACTTCGTGAATTGCACTCTTTAAATAGCCTGACAATAAAGCTGGCAAGACTTGTGTTCCTTGGTTAATGCTCTGCTTGAAATAGTTCAGCCTAAGGAACGCGGTGGGTTCATCTCCTGACAGAGAAGTGTTTCAACAAACAATTCCAACATGAACAGAGCAGGGAACAACTAATGAATGCCTGTAAGCAAGGAATAAAAACCATATATGCCAAGAATCCATTGGTGTTCCCCCACCACTTTTTTATTTTTTTAGACAGAAAAAAATCATAAATACAATCACAACAATAATAATATAACATAACAAGAACACAATAATTAAAAAGGAATAAATGAAAGAGTGCACCCACCACCCTGGAGACCAATACTACCATCACACACATACTATAACAATTAATAATGTATAATATACTTCAATTATACTCATATCCCCTCCAGAAATTCATATCATCTTGATTGGGTTTACAGCCTTTGCCTTCTATCAGTATTGCTTTTACAAAATCTTTCCAAATTTCATTATATTAATTTGCTTTCATTAACACTTTTTTTATTTTTATTTCTGTCGTCAGTTTATCATTACTTACCATATTCCATATTTCATTATACCATTCATGCCTTTGCAAAACCCAATTCTGTTTCCAATATTTAACTATCACTAGCCTGACTGCCATTATCAAGAATCCATTGGTGTTGAAGCAGTACCGTATTAACAAGCAAAACTTACAAAAGCATTCTTTTGTAAAGCAAAGATCTTACCTTCCAAATTTTCAATTTTTTCAATATTGTTTAAGGCCAAATTTAAATATTCAAGCTTCTTCAGTCTGCTAACATTTTCTGAAACAGAGTTTATTACATATGTCAATTTTCACAAACAGGCTTAGCATTTTTAACTTTGTACAATAGTTAAAACCATTTTAACAATTTGGAGTCAGGGTAATGCAGGGGTTAATGGTGCGGACTACGACTTAGGAGATTTGGGTTCTGGTCCTCACTCAACCATGAAGTTCACTGGGTAACTTTGGGCCTCTCACTGACTGTCAGCCTAACCCACCTTACTAAGTTGTTCAGAGGATAGAAGAAGGCAGTCTTGCTAAGCCACCTTAAGTTCCTCATACGATGGAAAACAGCAGGATATAAATGTAATAACACAATACATGGCAAACAATTACCAACTGACCAGACATTTCAAGAAGCCCAAAACATGTTTTTAAAAATACCCCAAAGGTAGCCTAGCATGACCACGTTGTTCTGTTAAATTGTGACTTGTGAATTAAGCACACAAGAACTTCTGTGTTGGAAAAGAACACTGAAATATTGAAGGCCTGAAGGAAAGAGTTGCTTATTCAGAAGCTTGATGAAGAGATGGACTGCTCTGTTTGCTCCTGCCTCTATGGTTGTTCCTCTGCTGCTTTTCAGGACTACAAAAAGTCAGGTTCCCTCATCCACCTAGCTCAAAATTGTCCAATGGTAGACTAAAAATCGCTTCTAACCCTCTCATTCCTGAATTGGGAGAGGGGTTAAGTTGCTTGTGGATTTAGGATACATTGCTGTGAACTTCAGTGGGTCTGGCTTACCTTACTGTAAAATGAGGAGACTGAGTGGGACCCCCTTTCCCACTGTTTAAAAATAGCCTTGCCGGTTGTCCCAAGCCTTCCTGCTGCATTACCACTTCCAGCATGTAGCTTTGTTTCCATGGGGATCTTGCTTAATCAGAAGAGGAAATGCAGTGGGAGAACTTGTGAGTCTTGGTAGCTTTGATGGACACTCGGTGAGCCTATTTTTAAAATGTAAAAACAGTGAAGGGGAAAATACTCCACTCAGCAACTTCATCTTACAGCCATAAATGTCAGCACCCACCCACTCGTGGAATTTATAGAAATCTTTCCCAATTTCAGCCAAACTCTCAACGTCCTTGAGGAGATTAGGAGGGTAGTTACCCGGAAAAGGGCCTTTTCAACAGTGGCGCCCCAACTCTGAAATATGCTCCCCAGGGAGGTTTGCCTGGCACCACTGCGTTACTCTTTTTGGTATCAGGTGAAAACCCTTTTATTTTCCCATCATTTTAAGGTTTAATTAGTTTTATTCTGGGTTTTGTTACTGAGATTGGATGCAGTGCCCTGTTTTGTTTTATATTTTGTTTGTTTTTTTCTTTTTCTTGTAAGCCGTCCTGAGACACTTGTAGCAGAAGGCCAACAAAAGCTTTTAATAAATAAATAAATAGCCGAGGATTGCGCTTGCTCAACACTGGAAGAGTGAGAAACTACCCACTGAGGAACTGATTTTAAAAAAGATTCTGGACTGTGCAGAAATGGACAGATTGACTCTATTACTGAAGAAGAAAGAAGATACTGACTTCTATCAAACTTGGGACCTTTTTTATGATTGGCTGGAGAAATGGGACTTGGCTTAGATTTAAAGATGTCTTTAAATTTTTATAAATCAATTTGAATATGATTATAGAATGTTAAAAAGGTATGTTATAGGGGGCTGACCCAGTACATCCAATGTAATTGATGATTGATTTTATTAGTTTTTAGTTTAAAATCTTAATAAAAATGTGCAAAAATAAATAAATAAATAAATAAATAGCCTATCTCACAGGGTACCCCATGGCTTCAGCGTGTTAGGTGTTATAGGGCTTTCTTCTGTCTAAACATGCACAAAATTGCACCCTGTCTCCTGCGATTTGGTCCTCAGATGGTTCTCCTCCTGTCTAATCATTTTTCATTGACTTCATGGAAGGATATACTTCCCCTGCTTCCTTCTGCTTCCTCCAAACTCTATATTTGGACTTCTTCTGTTCTTTCTAGATACTTTGTCTCTCTGTCACTTCGTCATTTCTCATGTATCTTTGCTGATGGCACCCATCTCTACCCCAAATCTCTTGCCTTTCAATCCTGTATCTGCAACTGCCTCTCTGATCATTCTGCTCGAATGGTTCATCATTGCCTCCAGTGCAACGTTACCAAATCTTTTAACTTCTCTTTTTATAACATTGCAAAAATCTAGCCCGTCTTCTTTCTTTTTAGCAAAAACTCTGGCATTGCACCAGTTGTCTCTCACCTTAATTCCCCTTAATTCCTGCAATATTCTCCTCTTTAGACTTCCACTATCTCACCTTCATCTGCTCACATTGATCCAGAACTCTGATGCCAAAATTATTTAACTCCTGACCATGTGATTCCCCTGCTTAAACCTCTCCATTGGCTTCACGTCTGCAGACTACACACATTCCTTGTCCTTACTTTTACTGCTCTTTGTGGCTTGTCCCTCCTTTTCTATCTGTAGTTGCATCTCAAGATGCAGCCTTTCCTAAGATAATTGCTTATCTAGCTCTACCACATGGCCCCATCCATTTGCTCTTGCCCCTTATCCCAAAATGCTTCCAGGCTATTGTCTCACTTCTATCTTTTAAGTCCCTCTTCAAAATTTAGATTTTCTGTGAATCCTTTCCATTATCTCCCCAATCCCTATACCTTAGTATAACTAAGCCAAAGTAAGTGCAATTGAAGTAATTCCATATTTTTCCTCTACCTACTCTTGTCTCCTGCTTCCCTTTTTCTCTGTGTCTATTTAAGAGTGTAAGCCCCACGGGGCAGAAACCTGTCACATCTTTTCACTGTATTTTATTGTGTATGTCAAGGCTGCTTAACTATGTCTAAAGAGTTCACACATTTACATTGGCAGTCCCTAAACTTCAAATCCATTTGTTTAATTCTTTTTTCTCTCTGGGTCATCTTAGACATTTTTCACCACTCTGAAAGATAACTATATCAATCCAGTTTATAAACAAGTATACTTACCAATTTTGGGAATCAAGTTGTTTTGAAGATAGAGAATTTTCAAATCCCGGCACCATTTGTCAAGATATTCAATTTTTTCTATGTTTTGCTGGTGTAAGGAAATCTCTTCCAAGGAAAAGATTTCGCAGTTATTGTGCTCTGCGCATCGCCTAACAAGTTGCTCTGTGACTGAAATAAAGATCACAGTACATAGAAACAATTTCTTCCATGAAGAAAACTTGTTTCTATTCCATTAGAATACAAAAGCGACTTCTACACACTCTCTCTTCCTTCTTGAAGAACACCTTGTAAAATAAAATTCAACTGAAAAATCCATGGTAAGTTCAGCAAATGTCTGGAAATGACTCTTAGCATTTGGCTAGCGAGAGTTAATTGAATCTTTTGATTTTCATCATGTGTTGTGCTATATAAACTGTAGGCATTGGGCCTGTCTGCATGCCATGGGTCACCATGGGTTACTTTGCCCTTGGAACTTGTTGTTGGATATCAGCTGGCAGTTTAAAAATGCAAACTGTGGCAGAGGTGTACCATAGCTTGATACATCATGTGAACCAGACCAGTGGGTTCTTGCCACGGTTTCCAAACTAGCCAAACCCCACAAATAGTTCATGAATTGCTTTAGGGTTGTGAGTGTTTTGTTAGTGACAGCAACCACCCACCCTAGCCTAGTTTGCACAAGACAACATGCCATAACCCTTCTGCAGCTTATATTTAAAAGATGTTGGCCAGAGCACAAAAACAGGATCGCTGGGTAAATTAACCCGCACAGGCTTGTTAAGGCAAGTGAACCAGGTTATAGCATGCAGAAATGTATCTCACCACAGCCAAAACCTTCACAGTGGCGAAATTGTAAGTGTGAACTCACAGGACAATGCTCTTCTGTGTTGTCCTGAACAAGACATACTGGAAGATATGTAAATTGCTTGTAGATGGCATATTGGCTCTTTATTTTATTTATTTTTTATTTTATTTTTGCACCAATTCCACTTAACCCTCATGATGTGGTTCTTTGGTTTTTATACTTTTTGGACATATTATCATCTGCTTGGCAAGGGAAATGCCCTCTGAAACTGCTCTTGGCCTGAGAAATACCCATTCTATACATGTCATGGGAAAATTTTCTGTACAGACTTATTAACTTGAGAAGTGCTTTCTGCAAAAGCTGGTTCACCATCAGCCTCCATTAGGGTCATACATTCTGAGTTGAGTTCTGCTGCTTGCCTGAACGAGGTGTTTCATTCTGTTGCAATGTCCATGGGGCACTGTAGCTACTCCTGGTTTCTGTCTGAGCTTTCTCAGGCACCATTCATGCTGCCGATCCAAAGAATGTTAAGGCTGAGCACCATGGACAGCTGCTGAAATGTTCGCCCTGAAACCTGGAGTGGATACACCAGTCCACTGACCCCGGAGACCACAAGCCTCAAACAGGGCTGGCAGGCAGAAATATAAACGCTCTGGGTTGAGTCCTCCTGCTTGCTAGAACAACCTTTCATTCAGTACCTTGCAGTCCAGTGAAGGCCAATGGTGGGTGTCAGCAAGATGATGCATCCACTCTGGATTTAACCTGAACTTTGGAGAAACTATCTATGATGCTCCACAGGAGGCCCTAAACATTAACTTCAGCACCATGGATAATGCCTCAAGAGGTCAGACTGAAACCCAGGGGCTGGGCATACCTGCCGGGATTCAGTCTCAGGAGCTCCCCATGGTGCTGAAGTTGGGGGTATGGTTCTGAGCATGGACAACTCCTGAATGGTTCAGGCTGAAACCCAGAGAAGACACATGGCCCCGCTGGCACGAAAACCACAGGAAGGTGTGCTAGGTTGGAAGGTGCTAGGATCTGAACAGAGGTGCTGTTCCAGCAAGCAGCAGGCCGGACTCTGCGCGGATGTGGTCAGGTCGGCCAACCCCAAGGCAGCTGGTGGCCTCCAGGGCCGCCTATCCACGCCTCCCATGGTGCTGGCCAGGGGCCTTCCGGGGTTTTAAAGGTGCGGGACCAGGGACAGCTCTCCAGCAGTTCGGGCCGACGGCCGGAGTGGCTACACAGCCCCGCTGGCCCTGGACGGCATCGGCCCCAACAGCTGCTGGCCACCGGGTCCCGGCCTTGCCTGGGACTCCGGGGGCCAAAGGGAAGCCCCTTCCCGGGAAGGGGCAGGGTCGGGACGGACACTCACTGCGAACCATGACCTCCCCGCCCGCCTCTCTCCTCGCCGATCCGCCCCGACCCGCCGCAACCGACGCCGCGCGGCGTCGCCGTGGCAACCGGAGCGGGAAGAGCCCCGCCCACGGCCGTCCCTTTCAGCCTCGGTGGAGGAGCACCGAGGTGGAGGAGCAAAGAGATACGGAAGGAAGTAGGTGATGATCACTTCCGGCACGCAGCGGAATGCTGTTAAGGGTGGCGCCGCGCTCGAACCCTCGTATTCTTTCCTTGAAGCCCCTCTCCACGTCGCACATTGAACGTAAACCGAAGCATCTTCTTTTCTACATTTGTCTGCCTCAGTGGCTTGACGTGAAAGGGGACCTGGAAAAGAAATCCTACTAAGGCTCGATATTGGAAGTGTCAAAAAGTTGGGACTGCACCTCTTGGGCCTAAAGCAGCTGAGGGGAGCGAGCGGAAAGCCCCTCCGGCTGAGTTCGGCGGCGAACATTGAACGTCAGCACGTCTAACCCTTCCCAGAAGCACTTGCGGGTCCCTTTGGCTTTTTGCAAAGTTTGCGGGTAGCTTCGAGCCCTTTCACAAAAGTCTCTTTTTAAGGTTACAAACGGGGTGGTTTGTTTCCTTTAAAAGAGGCGCTTGGAGCATTGGGACATGCCGGGAATTCTAGGGCTGTTCTCTGACCACACAGGCATACGACTGCACCATAAAGCTGTATATTTATTTATTTAGTAAACTTATATTCCGCCCCATTCGCCAAAGCCTCGGGGCTTATTATTAGTAGTAGTATCATTATTTATGGTTTCCATGTCTGTAGTGTGCAATAACCAAACCTCTCTGAGCAGTTCACAACAGTTCATAAAACCATGCACCACAATGCAATAGAAGTTTTCCAATATGCAGCCTTTAAAGCAAATTAACACCCCAGGGTGCCTGGGGTGTTTATTGCTCTCTGTGAGATGTAAGTTGTGGTAACAAATTTGTGCACTAACAAATGTGAGATCCTATGTATTATTTGTGATTCAGAAGCAACCTCTGCTTCCTATGCAGTTCCTGGTCTTAGGCTAACCCTCCCTAAGCCAAAGTCCAGTGTTTTGGACTACAACAGATGTAGCAAGAGACGAACATAAGGAGCAGCCATCCCTGTGTTTGGTCTGTTGGTCCAGAGACTCTATTTCAGTGAAAGAAACATTTCTGTGTATTAAAAGATTTTAGTGTTGATTCAGCCTATGAAATGATACACCACCACCTAAGAGCAAGTTAGACAACCTGCAATATTCTTTTGTATTACAACGCCAGCCTAGCAGGTCAGCTTTAACTTTACAGTCTTTTAGTTAGAAAACCTTTCTCCTGGTCTGCTAGGAAGGAGGGGGGAAAAATAAGCCAGAATAGTAGTCTATCTTAAAGACAGTGTATGCACCAATTTAAAGGAGAAAACAAATGAAGAGGCAGAAGAAATACCTGGAGAAGTCATGGCCTGTGCCACACCATTGATATTGACATTCAGAAAATGGCAGTGCAAAGAAAAAACCCAAATGCATGGTTGGTTTTGTGGAGGAAACAGCAAATGATGGTGATTATGAAGATATCTGCATGCCATTCATCAGGACAAAATTACTCTAGCATCATATAGGTTGGATGAATTCTACCTTGATCGCTGGCTCTCTAGCATCAAAGTGGAACTAATTACGGGAATTTGAGCATGCAATCCATTCTCTCAAAATGTCCTTTCTGTTGGGATTGTAGACATGCTGGCTGAACAAACAAAGACTGCTGTCCATGCTGCAGAAGAGAGGTGTTGCTAGCACAAGTGGGGCCCGATTCCTTGTGAATGCCCCACAAATGTGGGGCCTGTGCCAGGAATTCAGACTCAGGGTCACAACAAAGTGGATTGGAGTTTGGGGAGCCAATTCCAGGGAATCTGTTGGATTCCAAGCCCCAGTACAGATTCTTCCACATCCCTCTTTGACATGATCTTGTGTATATTTCTTCCATCTCCTATACTAAGAAGCACTTGGACACACTCGGAATACAAAAACACGTTTATTACATGAAGATACAGAGCCTTAAATTGCAGCTTAAACATAATTCAGTTACAAGTTAGATAGCAAGGCAGCAAAACATAAATCGTGCATGTTCACATTTCTTCATTCCTAAGAAAACAAAGCTCATTGAAAGGGGCCAACATGGCGAATAGGAAGGAGAGGGCTTTAAGTCTGTATTATCTTCACTGTCCATCCAGTAAGGCTTGGCTCTTGTCGCTGCAGAGCGCGGGCCAGTCACTCGCTCACTGCAGACTGTTCAACTGGATTCACTCTCAGATTCTGAACAGGAGTGGTGAGCAGGGGGCCTTTGCAGCTCCTTCCAGGTTGCCTAGTCAAGTTTCTCCGGCAGGGTGCGAGTTTCAGCCTGGTTTGGAAGGGGCACAAGAATTTTCAGGAAGGAGGGGAAGCATATGCAAGACCCCATCCTTGACCCAGTAACAAGGCATTAGGAGAGAAGCTGTGCAGTTGGAGCATAAGAAAAGCCATGCTGGGTCAGACCAAAAGTCCATCTGGTCGAGCACTTTGTAGTTACCAGCAGAAAGAGCTCTAAGCTAAAATATGCCAGTGTTTTTGGTATTTTCCCATACATTTGCTTCCACCCACAGCTGGAATATGGCACCCCAAAGCTTTTGCAAAATAAAAAATTACCCTTGGGCTGCAAGTGGTTCTGTATGGCCTGTCTGAGGACATTAGTGGGGACCAGGGGAGGAAGAAGTACCTCCTGAAGTATTTCTCCTAAAGTACCAATCTCCTAAAATATCCATCTCCATTTAGAAAATTTAGGGATTGCATTTGCTCAATACTGGAAAAGTGAGGAACTACCCACTGATGAACTGATTTTAAGAAAGATTCTGGATTGCACAGAATGGATAGATTGACTTTATCATTGAAGGAGAAAGAAGACACTGACTTCTATCAAACTTGGGATTTTTTCTATAACTGGCTGGAGAAACGGGACCTGGCGTAAATTTAGAGATGTTTTCAAGTTATTATAAACTGATTTGAATATGATTATAGAATGTTAAAAAATATGTAGTAGGAGGTTGACCCAGTAAATACGATGTATGTGAGAATTGTTGTTTTTAGTATTAGTTTAAAACTTGAATAAAAAAATTCTAGATTAGAAAATTTAGGGAGCAATCCTGAACACTCTTATTAGTGAGTAAGCCTCACTGAGCATACTGGACTTCTGTTGAAGCAAACATGCATGCTATTTCATAATATCTGCTTAAGTTTGCTTGTTTTCTTCTGCCCGGTCTGCCTTGTTCCCTTTTCTTGTTAAGAAGGCCAGTTGGTTTGTAAATATGGGGACAGGGACTGCTTGGTTTGGGCTTCACTCATTGCATAGTATCGCTCAGTACCTTTCTGTGCTTCACAAATCTACATAGGCTGATGGAAAGATTGGTGCTGATAACCATGAAGTCTGGAGAGGCAAAACACACACCTGTCTCCAGGAGATGACATTCGTCCCATAGATGATTGCTGCTGGGGACAGGGACGGAGAATTGCTTACACATGAAAATGCTGATCAGTAACAAGCAAGGTAGCAGAGCAACCAGCGGTGCTCCCAGAATGAATCTGAAACCACAAGAATCATATGAAGTCCCTTGTTAGGTCATGTCTGTGCCAATGATCCAATGCCATTTCAGGCCAGCTGCCATTCTCAAGCCCGCCATGTTCACATGGCAAGAACCTTCGCTCCACATCGGCTTGAATGTATGACCACAGAATGCAGAGCAACCCATAAGCAATGAACTGTGCAGCTGCATCGAGAAGGACCATGAGTCCTCCTCCTATTCCCATCCACCCATTCCTGCATAGTTCCTGTTTCTGCACAGGTAGGAAAAGCAGGAAGAGCATGTTTTGGTCACAAGAGTGGTTCGTGAGGAAGGGTCAATATCTCTACCCTGGTGGAATAAATTCACAGTTCCCACAGTTTGCATTATTGGCTGGTACCCAAAGGGACTGGGAGGACAGCAACATCAGAAGACTAATCATGGATCCTCCATATTCCTTGGGGTTCCACTCTCAGTTGCATCCTTCCGGCAAGGGGAAAGGAGCTGCCCCAGCTGACCAAAAGTACACCTGAATCTTTCCCATGCGTTCTTGTGTAGCTCTTGTGTAGAACATGCATCTGAAATTAAATGCACCTTTGTGTCCAGCATGCAAAGCTGCTATCTGCATTGGGAGGAAAGCTTCCATGAGAACTTGTTTCCCAATAGAAAGAGCAACTCCGGAAGAGTGATCAGAACCACTGCAGAGAGGCTGAAAAGACTGTGCATCCTGGATTAAAACACACACCACACTCTCCATCTATATATTCTTCCACCCCCAATATACATAGCACACAGATCTCTTTATACTCATTCACTAACTTCCATCTGTGTGTGTATGCATACACTGACACAGCCATTTACACGCAGATAAAGGAACACTCATGCACACACTCATTCACATACCTTCACATATACCCGTGCACATATATGCACACTTGCACACACATCCGTTTGCGCACATACACACAGAGCGGACAACCCCTGGAGGTCCTGCGGAGGGGCACTTTTTGCCCTTAGGGCTGCAGCCCACAGGACAGCCACTCACCAAATGACTGAAATTACCATTTTTTGGTCTAAATTCAACAGCAACCTGCTCCATAGTGCTGTGAAGCATTACAGTGGTTAAATTCAGCCTCTTCCTGAACGAAGTTTAACTGTTTGGTGCTCCAGGGGACTGCAAAGCACCAAAGCAGTCACATTGAAGTTGCAAGCAAGCTAAATTTATCTTTTGCACACTCCGTAGCCACAGGTGCAATTTGATGGAGGGCATTAAAAAGGGAGTTGGAGGGCCTGCAAGCAGCCCGTGGACCCACTCCTGACATGCATATAGGAAAAACACCCTCTCCTGCAGCCGTCATTTGGAGCTCTGCATGGCCCTCCAACTTCCCCCAAAGGGAGAGGCAACACAGGTGGTTTGCGGTGGTAGCTCTCTCAGAAGCCAGTTCCATCTGCCTCTTAGCTTTCTCTGGAGCAGTTCCCTACTGGACCTGCAAACATTGATGCACCATGGGAGCATTTGAGAACTGCAAAATAATGGGGCCATGTTTTCAAAAAGGGAGTTTTCCCTAGAGGAACAGCCCTGCAGACTGGATTAGAGCCACGGACCAGGAACTTCCAGGGTTCCTGAATGCCATATCACTTTTCAAACTGGCTGAAGCTTCGCATGGAGTAGAACAGCGGGTCTGAAGCCCTCCCAGGCTCATAGTGCTGTTCGCATGATTTGCTGCACTATAACCTGGATCGTCTTTGCAAAACTCACTGCATGCTTTATATACGAAAGACAGGAAAGGCTCATAGAGAAAGGCATGGAATGTACCTCACACTGAGAGAAAGGACCAGACACATGGACAGCATGATCATTGGGCAGAGGGCTTTTCTTATTGTAAAGGCATCTGTTTGGAACAAGAGAGAAAGAAGCAAGTTATGGCTTTTTCCTGTGCAACGGTAACATCTTCCTACTAAAGGAAAGCTGCTGCATTCAGGATTTGACTTTTGCCCATCTGGCCCATTTGCTTCTGCTCTGACCAGGAGGAGCATTCCTTGGTTTGCCGTGGAGCTGAGCCTTTCTCACCCTCTGCTACCTGACCCTTTCAGCTGGTGATGCCACTTTCTGAAGGCAAAGCAGGTGCTGCATGACTGAGGCATGTGCCCTCCCAAGTGATACCACACCTCCGAAACTAAACATCGCACTGGAATATTGAGCTGTCAGCTGTAGGTGTTCTGGATCTGGTCTGAACTCTGAAGGTACTGTCCCTGGTCCTGAAACCTGGAGCAGCCCAAGGTTCAGGACCGTGGATCGTTCCTTGGAGGTGTAGAGGGCCCCAACACACGGCCCCACTGACATTTCTGCTGCCAGTTTCCTGACTGTCCAGAATGGCTTCTCTTTAATGGGCAGCTGTGTGTTCAGAAGAACCTTTCTTCCTGCAGGCTGTGTCCAGTTTCTCCTGGTGTGGCTGGTGACCCCTATGTCAGTAAGGGTCCTTATCCACTGCAGCTTTTCTTCTGAACTATTGCACAGGGTTCCATGCTGCTGAACCCCACCCCCCAAATAGGTTCACCACCATGGACAGCTGCCACACATCTCCCCTTTTGTGGTGGTGGTACGATGATGATGATGCAGATCTTCAAGTCTGCACACCAAAGCTAGCCTGCCTGGGCCTCCAGGATGGCCCCACCTGCTTCTCCTGACCCTATGCCCCCTTCACACACTCACTGATAGTTGGATGTTTTTGTGCAATCGTCCCCCACTCTGAAAAACTTAAATTTCCATCTCGAGGCTTATTTACTGGCCAGTGGTGAGAGATTTAAGCTTTTGTGTGATGCTGTTTGGGGCCCTGCAAATTCTGCCTTCAGTTCTGCTCACCACTGGAATGTTGGCCCTGAATGTTGACCCTCGGCCTGAAAGTGGTTTGACACCTCTGCTTTCTTGCCAGTCTACACAGCAACGTTTTCTCGCAAGCCCTTTCTAAAAGCCAAAATCAAAAGACGGAAGGCATCTTCCCAGTGCTGGTAAAACCAGACCTCTTAAGATAAGGATAGGAGAACATTCTTAAAAATGTATGTTACCAAAGATTGAGGGCAACCTCATAAGGCATTCCCTTGAAAAGAAACATCACATCAGAGACCTTGTCCTTTGTGATATAAAAACCATGTGCAACAAGAACAGGCTTTCAATGAAAATGGGACTATATTGGATTCTTGCTATGAAGACTCTCTCCTCCTTGGATCTCAGTGGGGAATTAGGTTTTCCAGATTTTCTGAAGGACTTATCGTTCTGCCCTCCCATCCTTGCAAAGTAAGTCCCATGCTGCCTTTTAAGGGTAATGATGGGACCTGTGTCTAAAAAGGATGACAAACATTTTCTGCCCATTTATATCCCCTGATGTAAGAGGAGAAATGATAGCTCCGTGGCACAGTGCATCGTTGCATGCGTGTCTCAGATTAAATCCTTTGTACTTCCAGGCAGTCCTTGATGGAAGAGAAGCCCTGCTGGAATCCATGCAGTGCCACAGATAGTACAGGGGCGACCAGGACAAATGATAAAGCAGCACCTGTGCTTCATTTACTTAGATAAAACTTTCCTCCAGGATAGACACTGCCCCAAAGGAGCAGGCAGAGCATAAAGAAGGACTGCTGCAATGCTGGAAAAGGGTTTAACTCACTCGGGCTGTCCAACGATGTTTCGTGGAAGTGCTCATTTTCTGCCAGGGGAAAGGTGCAGCTAGGGGAACACCGCTTTTTTCTTGATTTTGGGAAGATCACGTCATTCGACGGAGAGGACTTTGCTGGTGTAGGATTAGGCCTTTCTGCTTTTTCAGTGCTGCATCCCAGAGTATTATCAACAGTACCTGTAAAAAGTTGCATAAAACTAGTGTGACATAGGCATTAGCACGTATAAGCCATGCAACTCCAATATCTGTACAGGAAATCTAAGTGGACAGGTCCTTATCCCTGAAAATAGTCTTAACATGAATGATACAGAAACAGCTTATCAGATAGATCCTGCAAGAACGACCCAGCTCCTAATGTGAATTCCTCATAGTGGAAGTTTCCAAATTGTTCGCCAGAGGTCCCGGTTGTTGCTTATCATGGGTCCTTCTGCACTATGTTCAGCCGGGTTCACATGTCACATTGAGCTATCTGGGTTAACTTGTGGGACTTTGTCCTGTGCACTAACAGCATTGTGAAGATGCAAACCATGGTGGACATGCACTATGGCTTGTGGTGCCTTCAAACCTAGGCAGCATGGGTTATTCGAAAGCTGAACCACCCTCTGATATTGCTTGAGTTGGTTCAACATGGTGGCCAGTGCATGTTGTTGTTGTTGTTGTTGTTGTTGTTGTTGTTGTTATAACATTTCTATGCCGCCCCTTGCCGAAACCTCGGGGCGGCTTACAACATGATAAAATACATTGAAATACAATAGTACATAATAAATTACCATTAAATATAAAAATACCAAAAAAATACATTGATTTACAAATACAAAATTAAAATTATCAGTATAAAATAACAATATAGGAGGAGAAAGAGAAGGAAGAAGAAGTTGCCCCGGCCAGATCATATGTTTTAACAATTGAAATGATGTTTAAATAAAAAGGTCTTTACCTGGCGCCAAAAAACCAGTAACGACGGTGCCAGGCGGACCTCTTTGGGGAGTGAATTCCATAGGTTGGGCGCCACCGCAGAGAAAGCCCTCCTCCGGGTACTTACTCTCCTAATTTCTTTCATGGAGTGTTCCCGGAGAAGGGACTCTCCCGCAGATCTCAAAGGGCGGTCGGGCATATACGGACGTAAGCGCTCGTTCAGGTAGCCAGGACCCAAGCCGTTTAGGGCTTTGTAGGTCATAATCAACACCTTGAATTGGGCCCGGGCTTCAATGGGAAGCCAGTGAAGCTGATGGAGGACTGGAGTCATGTGAGCATAACGCCCCGTCCCCGTCAGCAACCTGGCAGCTCTATTTTGCACCAATTGAAGTGTTCGGACTGTCTTCAGGGGAAGCCCCACGTAAAGCGCGTTACAGAAGTCTAGGCGGGAAGTCACCAGCGCGTGTGTCACCGTCGCCAGGCAGTCGTACTCCAGGTAGGGGCGCAGCTGATTAATCAGCCGAAGCTGAAGGAAGGCGTTCCTCGCTACCGCTGTCACCTGAGCTTCCAAAGAAAGCTCCGGGTCGAGGAGTACTCCTAAGCTGCGGACCTTATCCCTAAGAGGGAGTGTTGCACCATTCAGGACCAGGTCAAATCCACCGTCTCCGAAACCCGATCCGCCAACCAACAGGACCTCCGTCTTGTCTGGGTTGAGTTTCAGTTTATTGGCCCTCATCCATTCCCTTACCTCGGCCAAGCACCGGTTCAGCACAGCCACTGCCTCACCTGGATTAGTGGAGAATGAGAGGTAAAGCTGGGTATCATCAGCGTATTGATGATTCCGCAGCCCACACCTCCTGATGACCTCTCCCAGCGGTTTCATATAGATGTTAAATAGCAGAGGGGATAGAATGGAGCCCTGTGGTACCCCATGGCATAGCTGCCATGACGTAGAGACACGGTCCCCCAGCACTACCTTCTGGAATCGACCGTCGAGATAGGAGCGGAACCACTGCAAAGCAGTGCCTCCAACCCCCAATCCCGCAAGTCTATCCAGAAGGATACCATGGTCGATGGTATCGAAAGCCGCCGAGAGGTCCAGAAGAACCAACAGGGATGTACTCCCCCTGTCCTTCTCCCTGCACAGGTCGTCGTACAGGGCGACCAAGGCAGATTCAGTACTGTACCCGGGTCTGAAGCCGGACTGAAAAGGATCCAGATAATCAGTTTCATCCAAAAGTGCTTGGAGTTGCAACGTCCTGCGGGTCACTTAATCCACAGTGCTTTAGGATGATGTGCAAACTGGCCCATTGAGTGTATTCTGTAGGGGACCATCAATTGATTCATATGACTCAACAGTGAACCCCCTACAGGTTTTGTCAGCATCCTGCATGAATTCAGGGTGCACTCCAGTGTATTTTCCTGCATCTTCTGCAACACATAAAATGATTCCATGGCAGATATGAAAGGGTATCATGGCCCCAAACCCTCTGCCATTTCAGGATGCAGAAGATGACTCTGACAAAGACCAAGGTCAACCTGTTCTTCTTGAGGAAGGATGGCCAGACCTGCACCCAGTCTTCCATTCTGGCCAGAAGGCACTGCCTCACCATCATGCACAGTCAAAGGAGGAACCCCCGGTAGAACCTCCATCTCCATGGCCACACATAGTGTGGGATAACAGCAGTGATGCTCCTTCTAAGAGTCTAGAGTGGGTGGGGCAGACTGCACTACAGATTATGCATGCCTAGATAAGGCTTCAGCTGACTGCTGAGACAACACCTTCCTGTTGGTCTTGTTTAGTCTGAGTTCTCCAAGGTCCCATTGTAATTTCCTTCTCCACAAGTGGGTTAATGCTTTTGGTTAGCTTGATGTGCCTGATGCACCTACCTTGGCCAGATTCTATATAACTGACAGAACCTTTCTTCCTTGATCTAGCTGTCATAACCTAGACTGGATTCTCCTTGCTCAGATGGCATCTGTTTCCCTTGTGATTCTCCAGTATCCATAGAACAGGACAATGGATTCTGCTATGGATCAGCTGAATGTTTCAGAATTACTGCAATACTTGTCTCTCATCTCATTTGTGTTGCAAACTCAGAGTACATTTGTGGATCATGGAAACTGGCCACCCAGCCTGATAGAACTTCAGTTATTGGGCAGTAGAGAAATGAAATCCACAATAATAATAGCCTTAATAAAATAGTAGCTTCTAAAAGTGCTCACCATTGTCATAAAAGTGTGTGGTGTCTTTCTGACCGTCTACTTCCAGCCAAGCATCCTCTCCGTGAGGGGCATCTATCATGGTGCTGCTCAGCCACGAATTAGAGGCACCAATACTGAACAGGCTAACAAGTGAGCGGCGGATTTTCTTTCTTCTCCGAAATATTCTGACACAAAAAGAGAAAAAATTAAAGAACCTCATTGTCCCCCTATCCGCTCACCATGTGGCAATGCTATTTGGCTAAGCTGAAATGGCACATGGTGATGTAAACATCAGTGGGGCTGAGACAGCTTGAGATAATCCAAGACAGCTTTAGCCTTCAAGGCCAAGTAAGATTATGTTCACTGGGATCGGATGATCTCCTGTGGAAACTTCTCCCTTCCCTTATGGAGTTTGGCAATAAAACAGTAGGCTATCTGTGATTAGCTTCCTGAAATCTTGTTTGAGTTGTCAAGGTGAGAGCATAAAAGAGAGATGCCCAGAGCTGCTCTTTTTTCTTCATCTTCATGAGCTAACTTGCTTTTGGTTCTTGGCTCTGTCCTTGTGGAAGACATGTACTTAAGTCCTAGGGGAAGACAGGTAAATTGGTATTGATTTGCTCTTCTGGACTGGAACACGGTTCCAAAGATTTTTCTGATTTCTGTACATCTGTTAAGCCCCTTTCTTTTCCTTTTTCCTTCCCTAACTTAGGGAACAATCATATGGTTCCTAATAGAAGGAGCACGGGCATGGCCCTATTCCCTACACCTCAGGAGTGTCTTAGAAAGTCTGACAGTCTTGTCTCAAGCTAAAATGGCCATAAAGGGAGATGCCTGCCTATCTGGACAGTTGTTTCCCCTTGCCTAAGTGGCAGGGGGCATTAAGCTACCTCCCATCCCCTCACTGCATAAGTACAAAACTGATCTTTCATAGAGAGACAGGAAACCGGTGTAGTTTGACCCATTTGTTTTCACCCCATCGGAAATGTCAACACGGAACTTATACACAGGGCTGGTTCAGACAATCATAACTCACAGGATTAACTAAGTTTCCCATTTTGTCCAAACTGGAAAACTAGGTTAAATGAACAAGCTAGGATAATAAACAAACTTCAGACTATTGTTTTATATCCTGGCTTGTTTCAGAGCCATTATGTATAGTTTCCCAGATGGGCTGAAATTGGAAACTATAGCTAATTGAGGAGTTCTTGGTTTGTCCAGAGGGAGAAGCGGAGGAGCATGTTCAAAGGGTGTGTTCATATCTTGGCTTATATTCAGAGATATTGTCATGCAAACACAGCCATGTTCCTCTCACCTCTGTCTTCCTTCCCTTCCTTGTTTTCCCCTTTGCTTTCAGAATTTAGGATGTGGGTTGCTTGGAGCAGAAGCCTGGCTTTTAATGGCCTTTGCAATTTGCCTCACGCTCAAATGGTCACCATCACCAACAATACCACGCTTAAGAGCAGAGCACCAAAAAGCAGCCATCCCTGGCCAAAAAGCAGCCTCCATATTCCTGCTCATCTCCAACCTTAGTGCTCAGCATCTCTTGGGTCATCTACATAAATGCTACTTAGCCATTTGCTTGATTTATAATTAGAAAAGATGTGATAGAAATTATTGTTGTTTCTCAGCACAGTATCAGAGGTAAGAAAGCAAAACACCCACTTCATAGATTGCTTCACATTCCAGGATATTCCTGCAAGGAAGTACGTAACAGTCCTTGCCTAGTTGGAAATGCCACCTCCCTTATGCCTGCCTGGATATGACGATCCAGTGGTGACACCTTCTTGACAGAGCCACATTCACCTGGAGTTCATTATGCAATAACCCAAGAAAGGGCATTATTGATACAAGCACCTGTCTGTGGCAGTTCCTTCCCTCTCATATACAGTCAGCACTAAGCCCTGCAAGATTTGGGATCGAACCAAAGACCTATCAGTTCACACAGACTTTTAATGTCTCCTTTCTGCAATTTATCTGTGTTACGCCTCTCCTGTGTTTGATTGTCTCGAGGAAGGCTGATGTCATATAATTTTACTGTGTTTTCTTGGTTGGGGTTATTTTACAGTTTCACATTATTTTGTAAAGAAAGGTGGGGAATACCTGTACTAAGTAAGGCATGGATAAGAACGAGGGACTATGTGGAGCACAGTTTTGTTTGCTCCACGGGTACATGGCAACACTTACCTAACTAATTTCTCTTTGTAGGTAATGCTCGTTTGTACTGGGCTTAGCATGGTGTTGCCCTCTTCGTCAGGCAGAAAACTATCTTCTGTGAGGACGTAGTAGCCATTAGTGAGAAGCCGGGGGCTCCGGCGATGTTCCAGGAAGCATCTTGTGCAGGTGTTGCTCAGGCAGATTTCATAGGCAGCCCCGTGATCCAGAAGGGCATTTGTGTAACTAAAATGTGAAGTAACACAATCCTAGTATCATTATTGCCACAGTGCATTTCTAGCCTGCCTTTTTACCTCTTGTGAGGCACCAAGTGCAGCCTACAGAATTTTCCTCTCTTCCATTTTTATCCTCACAACAACAATAATCCTGCGGGGTGAGTTAAGCTGGGAGTGAGTGTCTGGTCCAAAGTTACCCAGTGTGCTTCGTGGCCGAGTGGTCAGCCTTCTCAACCTGATGCCTTCCAGATGTGTTGGACTACAATGCCCACAGTCCTCAGTTAGCATTAGTGCAACCATCACAACATAAGCATGGGCAATGGCTTCCCAGTGGGAGGCTTAAGTAGGTATCTTTGATTTGCTCCAAAGAAAATGAATTATGCACAGGACCAACATCATGTATATTAGTCATGCTGAAGAAGATAGGTATAAAATGGCGGCGGCTCACCTGAGCCCAAAGGGTTCTGATTCCGGATGCATCTTTGGCTCCTCTTCACACTTTGAGGGCCCTGCTGAGGCAGAAAGCAAATGAGCAGAAATGTCAACGTCGTCTCTTCCTGGAGGGAACCAAAGATGCATAAAGCACAATAGTGTGAAAAGACATCCCTGGCTTTGAGTGGCCACTTATGAGTTCACCAAGAAGAGCAAATACAACACCGAGAAAAAAAAGCCGGGGCGGAATGTGCACTTTCTGAATGTGCATATAGATATACATAATTCTGGAATTATTCTGATTGAAATGGAAATAGAGTTCATCTCGCCAGAATGTGGAAGAAAGTGACCAGGAGACCCTGCTAAGTACTGATGGACACCTGCTCTTATGTTCTGGATATTAAAACCAGAATTGGGCCACATGTTCCAGCTGAAGCTCCCTGCTGCTTATGCCCTTGTGCTGACAGCCTTGAAGGGTTTTTATTTATTTTATTTATTTATTAAAACATTTTTATGCCACCCCATTCGCCGAAGCCTTCTTCCCGACATCTAGGTTTGCATGTGCTTGAAGCATGAGGTCTTTTTCTCAGAGATGTGGTTTTCCTGGCATCTTCCCTTGCACTCATTAATGGAGATCCATATCTAATTGGATTTTTCTTTCCCTTCCAGATCCAACTTTAAGCTCAGTAGAGAGGACACTGGGCCCTACATGACAAAATCCCACTATAGGTAACTCAAAGGCTGTCCCAAAGAGGAAGGCCAAGATCTCTTCTTGCTGATGCTGGAGTGTAGGACACGGAATAATCAATTCAAGTTTCAGCAACCCAGATTCAGGCTGGACATCAGGAAAAGCTTCCTCACGGTCAGAGCAATGCAACAATGGAACCAGCTGCCTGGAGAGCTGGTGGGCTCTCCCACACTGGAGACATTTAAGACAAAAGTGGTCAGCCCTCTGAGTGGGGTGGTGTAGCTTGGTGTCCTGCACCAGCAGGGGGCTGGACTTGATGACCTTCTGGACCCCTTCCAACTCTACTATTCCATGATTCTAAAATCTAGGGCTCTGACTCTCCCTCCCTCAGGGACAAAGCGCGGTGCTCTTGCATTGCATTTTGAGTTCTCCTATCTCTTCAGTACCATGCACCCCCAGGGGTGTCCATGGGGTGGCCCCCTGCCTCTGGACAGGTCACATGACATCCCATACTCCAGCTTCAAAGCCAATGCCACAATGCAGTTGCTTTCATGTCCTCATGGTCAAGTGCACCTAGAGAAAGTAAGGCCCCATTAGGGGAAAGGTCTCCTTCAGTGTGGGAGCCACACAAGCCAAACTCCAACTTACAGCGTATTCAGAGTCCGGTAGTTGTTGGAGCAGCCCATCTTGTTGTTTCCAGCCTCACCTGCAGCATCCTGTGGCGCTAGCCCCTTCTTTGCTCCGCCTGTAAACCAGGTTGACTGCACTTCCTTTCTTTGGCGCTTTCTGTGATGCCCCTCGCTACTTCCGTCTTTCAAACCTGCCTGGGCTTGGCCTTGTCTATCCAAGCTTCTGGAATGCTTCTTCTGCCAATTCCCTGGCAGGGCTGCGTCGACTATTGTGATGTAACAATAGGGCCATTCATAAGTATTACTCCAATGTGGGTGTTCTTGTTTCACACTGCGGGAGAAGCTCACCTGATTGAATGGTCCTTAATATAAGCAAATGACCTCTGAGCTCAGGGGATTACAAACAGGCATACTGGGCATAACACATAACTTCCCAAGGAATAATTCCGTGTAGACCCATGACAATGTACCCAAAGAGAACGGTACTTGTCCAGCCAGCTCCTAGATATCCTGAGCAAGCATACGCCAGAGCACAGACGTCCTATGGCTACCCTGAATATATCCCCCCACCACAGTATTTAAGTAGTCCGAGACAGCCGAGCTACACCGAGTCTTACCCGAGAGTTCCCTCTTTCCAAAATCAGCCTAAGGTGGCTCGTGCCTGGATGCCAGCGCCGTTTCCACCATCCAGCTTCCCTCCAGAATTGGAACCCTTGAGCCAGCTCGACAGATTATTCATTCATCAGCAGCTCGAGCTTGTGGAAGTAATCACTGGCTTTGAAACCTGCAACAAATACGAAATAAAAAACTCATCGGGGGAAACGCTTTATTTGGCATTTGAGGAAAATGACTCCTGCACGCTCAACTGCTGTGGAGCATCACGGCCTTTTGTCATGAAGATTTTTGACCACACGGGCCAGGAGGTCATCGAGCTCGTGCGGCCGCTGCGGTGTTCCAGTTGCCTCTGTCCGTGTTGCTTGCAGGAGGTTGCTGTTTACGCACCCCCAGGCCATGTGGTCGGGTACGTGAAGCAGATCTGGGACCCCTGCCTGCCCAGGTTTGCGATCCAGAACGCAGCCAGGAGGGATGTGCTCAGGATTGTCGGGCCCTGTTTTGTCTGCAGCTGTGGCGGAGACGTGACATTTGAGGTGATGTCAACGGACGAGCTGTACACAGTTGGAAGAGTTTCTAAGTACTGGACTGGCTTTATCAGGGAAATCTTTACAGATTCTGATGACCTTGGGATCCAGTTCCCGCTGGACCTTGATGTTAAAATGAAAGTGGTCATGCTTGGGGCATGCTTCCTCATAGATTTCATGTTTTTTGAACACACTGCTCTAGACTTTACCCCAAAAGTTGGGGTCTGGTAGCACAGCTGACCCTTCTGCACTACACCAGTATCAGAGGAGTGTCGTGGATCACTTCAGCATTTTGCTTGGCTAAATCAGTCAGGCATGCTTACAGAAGAAATGTTTGTTAGAAAGAGTTATTTTTGTATATGGCTTCACTACTCCTTTTGTACTGTACCGTTACAATTAAGCGTGTATTAAAATGTATGATTTATTTTTACTTGATTATTGCCATACTTCAATGCATTTGTTTGGATCAAGCTTTATTTATCTTCAAAAGCTGCCTTGTTTTTCTTGGGAGGAAGGTGTGCTACAAATCAAATCCATACATTTTGTAGGGATTTTTTATATATCAAGATGGGAAAGTGTACAATCCTTCTCGATGCAGGTACACCTCTCACTATAGGGTCCCCACAGAATACACAACGAGGGTGCCTAAAGCCAGGCTCCTATATTTCATATGTAAAAATAATATAATGCAAACATGAAAAATATTTTTGTTTAAAACAAATAACACCGTTTGCTGTTAACTGTTAAATCCAGTAACTTAATGTTCTCAAAGTTTCATAAATCTATATGCTTTCCTCCTACTCAAACAAATAATAGTTTAATAAATGGAGAAAAATGCCACATGTGGAAGGCCCTCTTTTTATCCTGAAGGAGAAACTTCTGGGAGCTTCATTCTACTGGCAGGTGGACTAAAATGCAACAAAACCCAGCATATTTTAACTTAAACCGCTTACTGCTAACCTTTTATAATATGGAAAACCTACAAAAGATGGGGAAATACCAAAGCCCCATCTGGTGGTCTGGGGAAAGCGGGGGAGCTAGATGAAAGGATGTGGTTATCCGGGAATACCAGGACCAGAACACCAGCCTGTACTCCATACGAGGCAGGTTCCAATGTGCCAACATGATCTTGCACTTCTGGAGGACCACAGAAAAACTGCGATATGTTGGCGGTCATCTCGGATCCAACATGTTACACATTTTAAACACACTGGGTAAGAGATCCAGCAGTACAGATGCTCTTCCAAAGCAGCAGCAAGCCCTTTTTTGCCGATGAGCCCAGATGTCAGCAACGAAAGCCGCTCTAGTGAATCCTGCAGTATTAACTGCTTCTGCACAGAAAGATACAAGCAAGTCGCTTCTCACCTGCTAAATGTGAAGTCTTTTGCTTGATAATTAAATGTTGCTCAAACATAACAAAACACTTGATTCTGCCAGTTGGAACATTTTCTTACCATGTCTCCATCCCTAGTTACTGTTTACTTATGCTGCTGTGGAACAGAGATGCTTGCTCTGCTCATCCTACAATAGACTGCTGTATTGTTTTGTCACTTTTTTGATATTAGTCTTAATGTTTTAATTTTTTTCCCAGTGGGAGAGTATTTAGTCTGTTCATGCTGTCTGAAGAGCTTACTCATAATATATTTGATTTCCAAATATAAAGGACAATTTTTAGAAAGCAATGTGATTTTAAATTTGTATTGTTTTCTTTGTCATTCACAAAACTATTCTTACTGTGCTGTGAGTAAATGGAGTAAGACAAAATCCTATGTATGTTTAGACAAAGCTGGGAGTTGCAGGGCTGGGGGTTGTAAGCCATTTTTCTATCTAAACCCTCATAGGATTGCACCTTAAATGAGGTCAACAGAATATTCTTTAGTGATGTTAATTTTGCTTTATTATTTCTTGTGTCTCGTCTTATCTGCATCTCTGGTCTGCTCCCATAAAATGGGAAAAAAATCAGCCAGCAGTTTCTATATTGATTTGAGTAAGACATAGACATAGAAACAGAGCAAGTCAGAAGGGGTCTCCCAGGCCATCTAGTCTGACCTCCAGCACCAGCCGGCTCTGCTCACGACATGCCCACCATGTGCATGTCCAGCCTATCTTTGAACACCCGCACCAATGGGGCCTCAACGACCTCCTGTGAAAGCCCATTCCACACCCTCGGGGTCCTAACCATCAGGAAGTGCTTCCTGGCATCCAAATGGAACCTTGGCTCCCTGAGCTTTGCTCCATTGGAGCGCGCCCTGCCTTCCTCTGCAGGGGAGAACAGGTCTCTACCCACCTCTGTGTGACATCCTCTCACATACCTGTATGTCGCCAACAGATCCCCTCTGAGCCTCCTCTTCTCCAGGCTGAAGAGACCCAGTTCCCTCAGTCTCGCCTCATACGGCATCCCCTGCAAACCGGCCACCAACCTTGTGGCCCTACGCTGCACTGACTCTAACCTGGCTATATCCTTCCTGTAACGAGGGGCCCAAAACTGAGCACAATACTCCAGTTGCAGGTGCACCAGAGTCGTGTAGAGTGGTAGTAAGACTTGCACCCAAAGAAATAGATTTAGGATTTCTGCTACAAAATATTGAACAGTTTACTTGGAAGACATGGCATTCTGATCACCCTTTTTACTGATACATGAAAATAAACTTTGCCCCCTTAATAATTAGCTAGACTATTTACTTTCAGTTGCAGTGTCAGCATTTACAATGTTATTTTTGTTTTATCTGAACATGTGAGAAGAACCACCAAAAAAGAAAATATGACTGGCCATATCAAGCTACTTTAGGGCTAGCATAATCCCCTAACGTATTTTCAATTAAGTATGAATAAGTCTGCACTATACATCTTTCAAATAGTGATACAATATGCTAAATCTTTACACCAGTTTATAGAAAGTGTCAGAGTGGATCTAAGTTGCCCATCCCAGAAAGGAGCAGTTACAGACGTACTCTCCCCACTGAAGTCCCAGTTTCAACCATCACTAGAGAGCAGTTTCCTTAACTATCTGACAATATTTCTAATCCAGAAAGAGTACAATCAAAATCTCCCAGACCTGGAATGCCATTCTGTCAGTTACAAAAGTGCACCAGCCATTTATCCATCCGACAGGCGAGACTGGATCGCGGGAGTCTGACGTCTGTTGGGATTGCTCCTTGTAGCCAAATAGCACAGGGGTCTTCCAAAGGACAGAAGGGGGGATGCTAAAAGGCCCGCTTGTTTCCTTTTGAAAAGAGCCTGAGCAATAGGAAGCAAGAGAGGCAGAAATGAGGTCATGTTTCCTGCTAAATCTAGCCGCTGCTGCAGCAGCATTCTTTCTGAAAAGTCTGTTGAAGATTGCAGATCAACCCAGCGAAGAGCCAAGCTGTAACCTAGAATGCTATGCCCGGCTATAAATAACAGCATCACAGTTTTTCGCAGGGGAAGCGCTGCACGGCAGCCTAGAGAGCCCAACTGTAGTGTGGGGTGATGGCTGAGGAGCCCATGGGCCCAAGAGAGACACCCACTGCTCATCAAAACCAGGGGTACAGGGCTTCCCAACCCAGGACCTTTCTTGTGCACGAGCGATTCCTCTCTCATGGAAGTTTGCAGAACTTTCTGCTACATCGTTGTCTTCCAGGGCTTCTCCCATTTCCCCCACCCATTTTTGTGGGTTTTTTTTCCAGAGTGAGGAAAATAATTTACTAAAATCCAAACTGCAACCAACAAGAATAAAGACCTCATAAATAGCCTGAATTCAGTATACATTGCCACCTTATTTTATTTTAATCTCATTTTCAACTTGATAGACTGCTGAGTAGCCCTTTAAGGGCTCTCTGAGCAGCTAATATTAAAATAGGCCAACGGTACAATTCTAAGTGTGGGCAGGGGAACCTGTTGGTAGTAGAGTGAGCTCTTACAATCAGGTGTTAAAGTCAGATTTTGAAAAACCTTTGAAGGAGGAATTGTTCATGAACGGAAGCATTCGTGAACTGAGGTATCACTGTACTTGCCATCCCTTTTAATTCCTTTAGGGATGGCTCTTTCAGGACTCCATTCCCCGACCACAGTGAGCAGGTAGGAGGAGTGTATAGGAAAAGGCAGTCCCTCAGGTAACCAGGTCCCAAGCCATTTAGGGCTTTGCATGTTATGTTAAAGCAAGCACTTTAAATTAGGCTCAGGCTTCAACTGGCAACCAGTGTAATTTATTTATAGGTGTTATATGGACATGCAAACTGATCCAGAACATGGGATGAGCAGCCCTACTGAAGTCTCCGAACCACTTTCAAAGGCAGCCCTACATAGAGCACATTAGTGTAATCCAATTGGGATGTAGCCAGCCCATGAGTAACCGTGCTCAGGCTCTGCCTACCCAAGTAAGACCTTAGTTGTTGTATTTACCACAGATGGGAATAGGCACTCCTAGCAACCAAGTCTACCTGAGACTCCAATGAAAGTTTTGGGTCCAGGAGTACTCCCAAGTGTGTCCCCATCTAAAACAGGACAATGGCCATCTAATCTCTCAGCCAGATCATCAGCCAATAGCACTTCCATCTTGCCTGGATTGAGTTTTAGTTTATTGGCCCTCATTCAGTCTGTTATCGAACTCAAAACGCCTGTTCAGCAGAGATCGTCTCACCTGGATTTGAGGTAAACAAGAGGTAGAGCTGAGTGTTGTCCGCATACTGCGGACACTTCAGCCCAAACCTCCTGGTGATCTCCCCCAGTGGTTTCATATAAATGCTGAACAGCAATAGACCTGCAGGATGACCCCATGGCATAACCCGCATGGGGCAGACATGGTCAGCCAGGTAGGAGCAGAACCACTGCACAGCAGTGCCACGGACTCCTATCCCAGCCAGGCTGTCCAGAAGGATACCGTGACTGATGGTGTCAAAAACCGCTGAGAGGTCTAGAAGAATCAACAGGTTTGTACTCCTCCTGTCCCTCTCCCGACAGAGGTCATGGTACAGGAAAACCTGAACCTTGGCCTGAATCTCAACCGAAATTGATCCAGGTAATCCACACCCTCCAGGAGTGGCTGGAGCTCTGTGGTCACCACTCGCTTCAACACCTTGCTCAAAAAGAGAAGGTTTGCTACCAGTTGGTAGCTGGCAACTACAACTGGATGTAGGCTCAGCTTTTTTTCCCAGACACTGAGGCAAACCCTCTCTTTAGATTTTCCAGTGATTCATGATGGGCAAGGATCAAGTGGACAAGTGATAGGACGGACAAAGACAAACACCTTGTCCACATCCTTGGGCTGCAGTTATTGAAATTCATCCAGCAAAATGCGGCTAGAAGACGATGCTCTGGATACATCTCTAGATGGGATGGAAGCAGCTATGGAATCCAACTCATGGCAGATCTGAATAATTTTTTTCCCTGAAGAGCATAGCAAATTCATCAGAGCAAGTCACCAAGGGTTCTGGAGTCCCATCTGGAGAAACAGATTGCAGGAGGCGCCAAAGCACTTGGAATAGTTCAGGATGCATTTTTCCTTCCCACAATGAAAATGGAGGTCTCAGTAAAGCTGCCCTAGGATTGAAAGAGTCGGGAGGTGGAAAATGATTGGAAGACCCCTACAATGGAGGGGGGGGGGGGGCGTTGATCCTCAGGGGCAGAGGTCAAGCCCAGTTTGGTGGAAAACGCCATTCCTGTCTTCTCAATCACCAATCATTTTGCTGTTTCCCAACTTACCCCATTCTGAAAAATGAAAATGCCTCTTGTTATTTCATTGCTTAAAGCAAGAATGTTAAGCAAAACAATGCAGGTTTCTTGTGTGTTTAAGGACACCCCCTTTTGCCTGTCCGCCTGCCCATCACGTGCACCCCCTCTCCAGATCTTCCTTTAAAATGTTTGCCCCGAGCCTTCCTCAATTCAGGACCCCAGCTCCGACCACCCATAGGGGCGAAAAATCCAGCTGCATGCGCAGCCTGCACGTCCGGTTATATGAGTGGAGCGACGGACGCCTGATTCAAAGTGGGAACCTGTTTTTCCTATTGAGCTCCCAACTCACAGTGATACCCTAACTATTTCTTTGCACAGACTTTCCCCTTCTCTCTAGTTTTCTACCACGTTGGTTTGCCCCGCAACAAGAGCCCGAAGTGCTGTCACTAGCTTCGGTAAGTAGCCTCAATCCCTTTTTCTCGCTCGCGTCCAGGCCGGCCTCCCCTCCCGCAGCGCCTTTTCTGCGCCTGCGCAGTAGCCTGCATCCGACCCAATGCCCGCTCCTGTTCCAGCTTCGGTTTCTTACGGTCACGTGACGAGGGAAGGGCGAAGAAAATGGCGGCACCCAGGCCGGCTTCCCCTACGCTATGGCGAGCGTCGCGGGGAAGTGACGGCTGGTGTCGGCGCTGGGTCGCGAGAGGCGGGGCCGGGAGGAGACGGCGATGGGGCTCGCTGAGGAGGAAGAAGGGGGGCGAAGGCGGCGCCGCGGCGGCTGCTGCTGCTGTTGCTGACGGCTTCCCGGGGGAGCGAGAGCGACCCCCGTCCCCGCCCTGCCCCGACAAGGCCTGGGCGGGGCTGGTAGCGGCGGCAGCGGGTAAGGACGGGCCGAGCCCGGAGCCGGGCCGCCCCGGAGACGGACAGGCCTCGGATTCGGCCGGCCGGAGGCCTGGCTGGCTGCGAGGACCGCGTCCCAGCAGAGCCTTTGGCCTCGGGGCTGCGGCCTCCCTGCCCGGCGCGGCCTGCCCACTCATCCCCGGGCTGCTCTGCCCTGCTGGGGGGTTGAGGGGCCTTCCCCGTCCAGAGAGGATTGGGGACCAAAGCCCCCGCGCAGGCCCCCTCTCGGCTCTCGGGTGTGTTGAGGAAGACCCCCTGGGCCAGAGCGCGTCCTGTCCCCGAGGCCGGGTAGGAGAACCGTGGGCCCTTCATGAAACAGGCCCAGACTGCACAGGGGTCGCGACCAGAGAGGGACGGGAGAGCTGTTGAAGAGGGCGGAGTAGACGGAGGGGTTGGACTCTCCAGAGTTCATTTATTTATGTCCACGTTCTGTCTTTTTTTCTTTTTATATTCACGTTCTGTCTTGCCCAAGGCGATGGTTGTCCTTTCTATTTTATCCTCTCAACAGCCCTGTGAGGTGGCTTATGCTGAGAGGCAGTGGCTGACCCAAAGCCACCCAGTAATCTGCATGATTGAGTGGGGAGCTGAATCTGGATCGCCTGATCCTAAGTCCCGGACTCTAACCACTTTGCCGCACTGGTTCTCTTTTCTGTCCGTCCCCCACTTTTAAAGAACTCAGAGTAGCTTCTGTGATCCTTCCCACTTTTTATTCTTAGAACAGCCCCGTGAAGTAGTTTAAGCTGAGAGTTAGTGACTGTCCAAAGTGACCCAGTGAGCTTCATGGTTAAGTGGGGACTAGAACCAGGACCTCTTGAGACCTGGTCCAACACCTGGTCCACACTGGCTTTCAAAAGAAGCCAGAAAAAGAGAAAAGAGGTTTTTATGTACTTTAGCAGAAAAAGGTTGGTGTGCAAACACACCTTAAAGGGAGTTGCTAGTGCAGAGGACTCCTCCTGATTAGGAAATTTTCTATTGGTGTGCATAATAACAAACTTGATCTGCGTAATGTCAGCTGGTTTATATAGGGTTCTTCTTCCAGCTAATATAGATTGGAAATGTAAGGCTGGGATTCGTGATTTTTCTATACTAATGATTCATGCCTAGGCATGATGGGTAAAGATTTCATATCTAGTCCTGAATGAGGTTGAACTCTTTTTCTGATGTTTCTAGGAAACAAATGTACCTCAGTGGAGGGGCAAATGCATTGCATGCAGAAAGTCCCATGTTCAGTGCAAGCTGGTAGAACAGAGCTACCGCTGCAAAGCTACTTTAAGGCAACATAGACCAGCCTTTTCCACCCTGGTGCCCCCCGATTCAGGCACTTTGGTTTCAACTCTTAGCAGCCCTGGTCACCATGGCTAATGGTCAGAAGTTCTAGTTGTTGTACTTCTAAACACCTGGAGGGCACATAGTTGGGAAAGGCTGGTATGTTTATTTAATTTGTAAACCACCCCATCAGTATATAAAGAATACTGAGCTAATTAGACTATTCGTATAAGGCAGCTTTCCATATTACTTACTACCTTTGGAAACCGTTGTCCATAGTATCAAATGGATTTGGAGATTCCTTTCTTCCATACATTCTGTGTTCCAAGATTGTTATCTAATGCAGAGTGAGGTTTGCCACTCCTGCTGAAAAATGAGGTCCTGATTACCTTGTTTCCACTAAAGACTGAAATGATGGCATCCCAGCTAAAGACTGGAGGTGAGGTCCTTATATTGAAAAGTCTCCTGCATCCAAATTTATACTGGATCTCTTCCTGTAGGATGCTGAGGACTTGAATACTGTTTTTGTTTTTAAGTTTTTAACTTGTTATCACCACACCAATGGTTAAATGAGATCTCTTGTTCAGAAATATGCATTTCATTTTTTTCTCCTATTCTTGCAATGCATATGGAACCTTCATCCTTAAGAACCTTTTTTTATAATCTGGTTTAACATGTATACACAACAGAAAGTGTAGGAGACTATCCTGGTATGGGAGCATTTTGATGACTCCACAAAGCAGGCGTCATCTGTGTTCTGTATTTCACTTTCTGCTTGATTTTAAAAACATGCTTTAGAATTCAGTGTGTTACTATGTGTATTTGAACATTTAGTTAAAATATTAATAGGCCTACTTTTAGAGTGTTTAATACCTGGTCAAAAGAGTTAGGTTAACATGTTAATAACCATAAATATTTAGGAAATAATAACTATGTTACTGAGATAAAGAATTCAGTTCTACACTGTAGCTCATTTATTTGGAAGCAATCCCCATTTAATTCAATAATACTTCTAAGTAAACATGCAAAGGGTTTTGCTTTTAGATTTTAGCCATTTGTTCATTTGTCCCAAGTCTTCAAATAGCTAAAGTCTGGTTGCTGCCCTCTCTTTCCTCATAGTTTAAAAGGTAAATGCAGAACAATTGCCTTAAAGGATTCCTGTGGGGCACTAAAACCTCTTCTTTCTTTTACAGCTAAGAAGAGAGAAGAATAGAAACTTTCAAGATGAGCAGAAAGCCTCCAAATCGTCCCGGAATAACATTTGAAATAGGTGCTCGTTTGGAAGCACTGGATTACCTACAAAAATGGTATGTCAATGGCTGGTTTAGGTCAGAAATTATTTCATATGCAATTATGGCAGTCCTAACATATACACAAAAAATAAAATACAAGCTTTTTCACTTTGGCCATAAATTAGCTGAGGCAAGGCGATTCCTTCTGAAAAAGACATTAACAGTAAAATTCAGTACATGTTGACAGAGAAGCGAGTCCTACAGAATTCAGTAAAGTTTACTTCCCACTAAGAGGGTTTAAGATTACAGCCTAAGGTAATGGAAAGATTTAGCTTAAAGACCTTGTGCAGAAAATACTTATACAGCTAAAAAAAATGCTGCAGGTTTACATGTCTGGTGTTTGTGTTTTAAGCGGTGATTCACTCTGGTGGCACATGAATATCTTTTGTCTTCCCTGTGGGTATTCCATTAATAGCCATACACAAAATAATCTGTTTATACCAGGAAACTGTACAAATTAAAGAGAATTTGGGGATATGGGTGAGAACATTTGATTGGTTGTATCTGGGATGATTGGGCTGACAGATAAAGGGATGATAGAGTTGCAGTAAAGAGAGCAGTTTGGAAGACATGAGGTCATACTTGATGATCTAGAAGCAATACCTAGGGAAAAATGCTCCCTTCTGCTTCCTGATACATATTGAGAGATAGGGGCTTAGCCATTCACATCTGGGACTCTCACCTCTGAGATTATTTCCCTATATCATTGTTTCCTTCTCTTAGCTTTCCCAAATTCGTATGCTCTGCAAAAGACCTCGCATCCTCCATATCCTGGCCGTGCTGGCTGGGGTTGATAAGAATTATAGTCCAGAACATCTGGAAGGAGTTGAAGAAGGCTGCCTTCTTCTGGTGAAGCCTGTGTGTCTTATGTCTGTGAACTGTTAACTGCTTTGAGTGCATGTGTATACAGCAACATTACTTTAACGTTACTCTATAGTAAAGCCGGGGTGCAGATTAATCTTGTTTGATGATTCCCCATCTTCCACCACCCTTCCTTGATGACTGAATGTACTCAAAAGAGGCAAGGAGCAGTCCCAATTTGCTATGTATCTGTAGTAGACTGGTAGATCAGAAATGGCAATTTGATACGAAACATGATTAAAAATCCCTGGATAATTTCAGGCTTCACACTGAAAGATAAAGTGCCAAGGAAAACAGTGATTCATGGAACCCCTGGGATCTTGTGCAGTGGATAGTTCAGTGCAAATGTCAGTCTTGCGTGCAGCTGCTGTGAAAAAGGCAAACTCCATTTTGGGCATTTATAGGGAAGGATTTGAAAATAAAACTGCCAAGTTCATACTGGTTTTCTATGATGCAACCATGCTCAGAATGCTATGTATAATTCTGGTCATTGCACCTAAAATAGGTATTGTACAGTTAGTAAAAATGTAGAAAAAGCCAAGTAAAAGCATGGGGCTGGTGCAGCTCCCCAGTGCAGAAAAGTTACAAATGCTGCAGTGGTTTAGTTAGGTGGGGAGGAAGAGAAGTAAGGGGAGACACGAAAGCAGTGGACAGACGTATGGAGAAGGTGCAGAGAAGGAGATGTTTTCTTTCTCACACACAATACTGAAACCTGAGGTCATCCCAAGAAACAGTGGTGAGAGATTCAGAATAGATAAAACTGCTACTTCAACGCAGCACAGAGTTGAACTGTGAAAGTCACTTGCACTAGAAGGCCACCATTTTGGATGGTTTAAAAGGGGGAATGAAGGTATTCATGGAGGACTAGGAGACAATATACTTAAGTACACTGTTAGCTGGGGAATATGGGTGGGAGGGTGATGTTGCACGCCTGCCCTACTTGTGGGTTTCCTGCAGGAAGGTTGGCCCCTGTGTGAACAGAGTGTTGGATTAGATGGTGGCATTCTGCATGGCTGTGCTTATGTTTTTTATTATTTTTATTATATTCAGAATTAAAGTTATCACTGAAATTTCCTTTCATTTTACCATGGGGGAAAAGTGCCCCCCCCTTTTTTCCCCCAATGGTCATTTTGGAGACTGAGAGGTTGATGTCAGATGTGAGAATTCCCATATCAAAGAATCTGTATTTTGCTGTCATTAAATAAGGGGAGGGGAAGCAAGATTCTATGACTAAGGTGACACATTTCTGAGAGCAGTTTAACTCCTTGAAGGAAATAACTTTTGAGTGGGAAAGGATCATGATATTATAAAAGGGGGATGTATGAATTAAAACTGGATTGAAGCTTGAAATGTGCACCCTGGAATTATTTTCCCTGGTAAAATATGTCTTAGTAGTTTCAAGCTTCTGATACAGCACTCAGGCCTTGAGATTTCTGTAAGTCACCAAACTCAGAGGTTTATTGTCATATAATGCAGAGTGGGAGGAGCAGCAGAAGTAATTTCTTCCCCTGCATTTTCACTAGATAGACTTCCCTGTCTAGCTAGAATGTCCTAAAGGGGAAGTAAGGAGATTGAATGGTCAGAATAACTTATATCCTGGCCTCTCTAATCTCTTCCCTTCCCTGCCCACCTTGAACACCCCCTTCCCTCTCCTCAAGGTTGTTTTTCTGACCTGGGAGAACAGCTAGCTTGTTTTTTTGGTGCTAGTGGGAGGGTTAGTAAGAACTTCAGTTGCCCACTTTGAGGCCAGGGCATGAATTTACTTAGGATCTAGGAACTGGAAATATCCTTTGCCTCCTCATAAGCGATGTAGGGGGTCACAGGATTGCTCCTTAGGTCATATTAATTATTAAGTGGCACAGACTTGATGATAATTCTGTAAGTAATACCCTGTCATCATTTTCATTTCTCTGCTACTTAGTGCTGAAGCTGTTACAACAGTTTACAGCAGTTACCAGAACGGAACATAATCCAATTGAATACCACAAATCTTTTTCCAAAATACCAAAATTGAAACCAATGTTAACAGTTAAAACAATATCTGGTGTAAAACAGACCCTTTAAAAACACCTGGCACAGGTACATCCATCACCCTGTTAAATACACCTAGATGTACATTGAAGGTTGTCTTAGCATGGTGCAGGAAAGATGGCAAAGTTTGCACCAGGTGGGCCTCCGTGTGTAGGGGCCATTCTGTGGTTTGGGAGTGGACACTACTGAGAAGGCTGTATCCCCTGTTCCTGCCCTCCAAGCCTTCCTTGGAGGTGGCACTTGGGGGAAGGCCTCAAATATTGATTGTATTCATCTGGGAGATCACAGTTGGGGGAGGCACTTCAGCAGGTATTGTGGTAACAAGCTTGCAGGTGCTTTAGAAGTTAAAAACTACACCTTGAATTGGTCTTAGAGATATATAAGCAGCCAGTGTGGGTGGGTGGCAACTGGAAATAGATGTTCTTGGTTATTAGCCTGGCTTTAAAGTTTTGCCCAAGCCACAGTTTCTGATCAACCTTCAAGGAAAACCCCATATTGCAAAGGATAGTTCTTCCCTTTCACTTGAAGAATAATCAGAACAAATACAAAATCTTGCTTTACAAGGAGACAAGGCATGGAATTATCATCTGAATAAACCTTTACATTCCATCCTTATACTTAGGATTTTTTGTCTTCAGTGCTCAAGGCAGCTGTAGATTTAAAGCCAATGTCTTAATTTTAGTTAGTATTAGTTCATCAGAGGCTATCCATGGGATGTTCCCATGACATGAAGTTGTGTAGATGGTGCCTGGGGAGATGTCCTTTATAATGTATAGGCTTGCAAACATTTTATTGTACACAGATTTTTTTTATTGCAGGCAAATCTGTTTTAAATTGTTGGATTTTGTTTATTTGAATTATATTGTGTAAACCATTTTGCTAATCAAAAGTATATAAAATGTTTTAAATGAATACATATAATGCCTCTTCTGTTCTGGTTGAAGCTTGTCTGGTTCCCACTTCAAGTTTCTCGGCACAAATTAAAGACTGTAATTGCCCAGGCTTTCTGTGTTTCAATTGGTTTTAGTTAGTGTTTTCTTTTGGATGTTCTTGATTGAAGTTGATGCTTCTGAAATTTCATCCTAATTTATAATAAAACATTTACTGTTCTACATGGCACACTACTCAGAGTTTTACCATGGAAAAATGATACTAAATTTAACTTTCAAAATTGTGTGAATTTACTCATTCCCCAAAGCATCATTTTACCTTAATTTGTTAATTTTCTTAGTGTGTTTGGAAATAAAGTAACATCTTACATGGCTACCGTTCCATGGCAGAGGGGTGTTTTGAAGCTACTGTGGGAACAGGCAATGAAGACTGTCCTCCGCTTTAACCCAGTGATACCAGTAATTTGCATTTGCATGGCATTGCCAATTTTAGATAATTAACCACAGTACCGTGTTGAGTGAACCTGGACTGCTTCCTGCAGGGTGGCTTGTTTGGGGCAACAGACCATCCTGACAACTCATGGCTTGTTATCTATAAAGTCATGACAGTACTTACTCCTGCTTTGACTTTTTCACCTTTTGTTGTGTTACAACCTGAACTTGAAATGGATTGAAAAGTCATTGTTAGCACTTGAGGTACATAAGAGACTTAACACTGCAAGAGCACAAAGTGCTATGGCACAGAAGGAAACAGAAACTAAATGGCACTTGCTGGTTTCATAAGAATTCATCCCTTGCTAGAAGTAGTTTTGGCAGCAATTACACCCACAAACCTTCTTGGTGAAGTATCTTTTAGCTTTACACATCTGAATATTGCAATGTTTATTCATTCTTCCTGGCAAAACCGCTCCGGGGCTGGTCTGGTTGCATGGGGACGGATGAACAACAACCTTAAAGTCTTGCCGCAGCGTTCTAAGACATTCAGGTTCTTGTTTTTTTTTTAATCACTCCAGTGTGTGTTTAGGGTCATTGTCTTGCTGGAAGGTGACTCTCTGCCCCAGTCCATGTTCCCTTGCAGACCGAAACAGGTTGCCCTCTAGAACTGCCCTGTATTTGGCTCCATCCAACTTGCACTCAATCCTGACCAGTTTCCCAATTTTCACTGAAGAAAAACATCCAAATAATAAGATGCTGCTGGTGTTTTGCAGCAAACCAAAAAGTTTAATGTTTGTTTCATCAAACCACACACTGTTTCCTCACCTGGTACTGTGTCTTCCACATGCCTTTTCCAAATTCCAAACAGACTCTGGTATGGGTTTATTTCGGTACTGGCTTTTTTCTTGCCATATTTTCATAAAGCTCAGCTTTGTGTAACACATAGGAGATCATTATCAAGTGGAAAACTTCTCAGCTGTGGTTCTCTCCAACTCCTTCAGTTACCATTGCCCTCTTGGTTGTGTCTCTGACTAATGCCCTCCTCACCCAGTCACTGAACTTTGGCTGACAGCCTTCTCTAGCTTTGGTAGACAGAATCACAGTTGAGCAGTACTCATCCCATTTTGTAATAGTTGATTTGGTGCTCTGGGGAAATGCATTGACATGTATGGTGTTTATGTCCGAATTTCTCCCAGAACTGTTGTGATAGGTTCTTGGTATTCATGATGCTGTTTGTTTAGATACGGTCTTCATCAAGCTCTGATGGTTCCACAAATACGTACTCTTAATCTGATGTCATGTGACACTGAATTGACTGCAACCAAACTCCATTACCATACAGTCAGCTTCTTACAGTATATAACTTCTGGAGGGAATACATTGCCCCAGAGCTTTGTTAAGCATGCCACAGCAAAGAGGGCAAATACTTCTGCAGCCAACAAATGGCAGTGTGTCTTTGTGCCACAATTTAAAACTTTTTGCATCTTCAGAGTATTGTGTATCTCGTGCACATCAAGTGGTAACAATGCCAAATTAATCCATTACAGTTCTAGCTTGTAATGCAACAAAATATGATAACAGCAGATAATGCTTCTGCAAAGGGCTGCAGGTGGTGTTGGACCCACAGTGGGTTAGCGTGCCATCTGTCCCTGGGAAACCAATCCCACTGGGGGTCCAGGCGACTGATTAGTGAGCTACCTGGCAAGTGCCACAGTACCCCTTTGGTACCCCCCCCCCCCAAGTTCTCCTGTGCTTCTGTCAGTGGCAGCTGCTCTGTTGATACCCTAGTGGCATTTTGTGGCGAGCATCGCTGGCTTGTTCTCCCTACACCAAGCACAACTTCTCTTGGCTCACCACCACTCCTTGCCTGTGCTTTTGCAAACTTTTTGAAATTTCTCCCCCTGACAGTCCCTCCAAAGTGCCTAAGTGGCATACTGGAACACTTGTCACTGGTTTCTCACCTTTTTAGGCACCAGAAATGCATGCAAATACTTTCATAATTTTTGGAAGGGAGAGTTGGTCTTGGCTGAAACATCTTGGAAAGTGTCTCCTGCCATGCCATTGCTGAAGTGGCTGTCCTTGTCAGTGGCCTGGGCAAAGACAGCAAGGGAGTTTTGCTGCCTTTACCAAGCAGCTCATTAGCTAATTTGACCGTTTGTTAACTTTGGGCATTGAACTGGTTTTATATCTAATCCAGGTCACACCTGCTTTTGGGCATTTTTTAAAAAATATTTGTCTCTTTATTTATAGAAGATGTGGGCTTTCCATAGGCACCTGCCCACTGTGGGAATAAAATGCTAGATTAGATAGTCTTGTAGTCACATGCAACATGACTGTTCTTATGTTCTTAAAATGATGTACATACATGTGCCAGAAGGGTAGTTGTGAGAATGAAAGAGGGAGAACATTGTAGATGAATGAATGGCTTAATTGTTTGTGAAGTTTCAGGGCAGCACTGGGAAGTTTGACAGTCTCCTAAAAGTCTTTGAGACATATATTCTTACATTAGGTTATGCTAATAGTAACTCACTGAGTCGTTTATCCTTTGTAGGATTCAGCCTTGGGTATCCAGGCAGCCAGATATTTGTAAACTGGAACAGAACCTGGTGTGTGTGTGGCTGCTTTCACTTTCCCCTGTACCCTTTTAGGCCATATATGAATAACATAAAGATGTTTTAGCAGGTTAATCAGATCTCTCTTTTTTTGGTGGATCACTAACTTCTGTGGACTATTCATAGCATGTACTTTTTGTTGAAAAAGTTAGTTCGCTCACATAGAAAGACCATGAGGGCAACATATATGCATCTTAGATACAGTTTATATTAGAAAAGGTTGGTGGAGTAAAACATGAAAAGGATGAGCATTTTCCTCTCTCATGTGCTGCTTCTTAAAGCATGCTGATAAACTGTTGCCATGAAGAGAGTACTGGGAGTGCTTGGAGGGAAATTGAATCAGAGTTGAGCACATGTGTGATTTAAGCCAGATTGATAAATTATACCTTCTCAGATGAGAGATGGAGAAGGTTCTTCAAGGAGGGACTCAGGTGAGAGACTTCCGCACTGTCTCCTTAGTATGGAATTGAGCACTATTTGTTTTTTTTTTTTTGTTTTTTTTTGTTTTGTGGACTGTGCTCCATTTCTCTATTGCAATGTGACATTAAATATGTATATGTCTATTCAGATCTCCTATTCATTTCACTGGGTTCACTCCCAAATATACATGTAATATTTGAGCCCTAGTTTTTATTGTCTCTCCCAATTAGTTTTAATCTGAATATACTGCTAATTATGGGCATATCTTGATATTTATACTATCTCATTCTTGCTTGTGATTGTATTTCTGAAATGTCTTTTGCTGCCACTGATTGCCAGTTGTAAATCACTTTGGCACAATTCTGTGGAAAAGTGGCCTGCGGATAAACAAATATAAATACCATGAAACTGAGCAGTTGATCTCCTGATCCATGGCATGTGTGCCATATGAATGCACATTTTCAGTTTTTAGCATTTAATAGCTGGCACAGTCTTACAGTTCGGCCATTTCAGTATTCCAGAATTCATGCAGCTTTTTCACACATTTACCCAAGATCCTTGAGGTTTTGCGGTTACTACCTACAATATCCATATTGTTCACAATCACATGTTAGCTGCAATTGTCAATTTAGACTTTTTGTCTGAATAAGCAACTTCAGACCTTATAGCAATCTTCAGTCTTGCGTTGTATGAGGAACAGAAAAGGAAATTACCCCAGGCAGCATTTACATTTCTGCCGCACAATGTTTGATGCTACTTGTGGAAGCACAAAATATGTTCTAAATGTTTAGGTTGACAACATTTGTGGAACACACGTGTTGGGGCAATTGTACCTCATGGTACGCATAATGCTATTTTCCTTGCTAGATAACTGAGGCTTAAACATGAACTGTGTTGATGCGTCATGAAAAAAACACTAGTACGTCCAAATGGTACCCATGGGTCTTCTGCAAAAAGAAATTTAGAAACCAGCCTGTCAAAATGGCATCTTTTAATTTGTTCTCTGAAGGTATCCCTCCCGGATTGAGAAGATAGACTATGAGGAGGGGAAGATGCTTGTCCACTTTGAACGTTGGAGTCATCGTTACGATGAGTGGATTTACTGGGATAGCAATCGATTGCGTCCCCTTGAACGGCCATCACTGAGAAAAGAGGGTCTAAAAGATGATGATGAATTCATTGTAAGTATTCATCCCCTTCCCATCTCTTGGAAATGCTTTCATATGGAAATCTTGAGCCCTAATCATAAAACCAAGAGTATAGAAATTAGCAGGACATAATTCCACATAATGGTGGCTGGTTTCCAGTATGCTGCTATTAAATACACTTTCAGACATATTAGCTAAATATATTCTTAAAACTCCTTCTAAAACAGGATTTTAAACCTGGAGAAGAGGTTCTAGCTCGCTGGACAGACTGTCGATACTATCCTGCGAAAATTGAAGCAATTAACAAAGAAGGTATGTGTAACCTGCCTTGCCAGATTGGCTTATGGATTGAACTAGCCTAATGTTCTTCCTATTAGGAGCCAGACAAGCTTCTCAAAGTTCTCAGTTACATTCAGGGCACTTTAACAACCTCCCTCTATTTTGTGCAGCACCTGCCACTTGGAGGTAGACTGCTTTTAAACATGGAATGTTTAGTTGATTGAACTAACACCTGTTGATAAGCCCTTCCTCTAAGAAGTTTTCTGATTGTTGTTTGAACAACAATTGAATTGAGTGATTGTAAGGTGGGCAGCTGACATAGGCTTGCCCAACTTTTAAATGTTCTTCATTGTGCACAAATGTAAGAATGAATGTTCTTCATTGTGTCCAAATGCAGTTCTTCATAAATGCAAATACCTTGTTGTGTTTTAAATAAAAGTTACTGTCATTCGTGCTCATGGGATGCCTTATTTTATGTGTCAGATTCATATTCCACACTTTCATTTGGTCTGAAGGTTTGGAATATCTTTTAGGCAATCTTTATTATCCTTTGAAGAAGATGCCTGTTCTCAAATGTTGGCCATAGTCATGTTAGTATTTTTACTTCAGTGAAAGCAAAATGTAGCAAAATGCAAACGTGCAACTTTGATGCAGTTTGATTAGTGTAGCATGTCCAAGCCTATGAAGGAAACAAAGAATGGATTTGTCATTATTTGCAGGTGGCAGGTCTGCACTTTCAGAACCTGAGAGCCGGTGCAGTGTAGTGGCTGAGGGACTGATTTGTGAAGTGGATCTGAAATTGTTCGAATCTCATGTCTGTTACAAATTTTCTAAGGGCTCTTAGATAAGTCTCAGGAACTTAGCTTTAGGCCCTTACCTGCAGTACAAGGATACCATCAATCTCCCTTTCACAGTTGTTGTAAAAATGCTGAATAAATGTGCATGAAGTGCTTTAAGTGCTCCAAGAGGGTGAAATGAATGCTAAAAAGCCCGGGCAGTGGGAATTCCTGTGATTTAAACTTATAAATTGTGGCATTTAGTGTGCTTCATTGGTCTTATTAATTCTCTACTAGTCAACCTTTATAAGAATGTATCTTAACTTTTCTTTTTCTAAATCAGCTGAATTGAAACAAGTTATCTAAATTAAAAAGGTTCCTTTAAATGTATCACTTTTAAAGCAGCTGAATGTAGTTAGAGAAATGTTGACACATGCAGGGCTGCAGGATGAGTTTGAGTCGATGTACAAATACGTATTGCTAAAATTTTTCATCCTTACTGTTGTGTGTCTCTGATACCAGGAACCTTCACTGTACAGTTCTATGATGGAGTGATTCGTTGTCTTAAAAGAATGCACATCAAATCTATGCCAGAAGATGCCAAAGGGCAGGTAAATGAGTCTCCAGATAACCCCTCTATTAGACCATATCCCTAAATTCCTGATTTAATATAGTTGGAGTGATTTCAGCCTTCAGGTTTTATACATACAGTTATTTGCAATTCCCACACAATTTCTGATTGAGTGAACATACCTTTTTCATCTTTTTCTACTCTTGTATTAAGTATTCTGTAGTAAAGTGTCTAAGGTGTCAGCGTCAGGTGGTCTTGAGAATTCAGCTTTTGGAGCAAATGGTTCCTTTCTTGCTTGCCATTGTGTGTCTTGAAAAGAAGTTTCTTGGCTTTAATGTGGGAGGTGGGCGTTTCCCCACCAGGAAATTGTTGGCATATCCCTTCCCTTGTTTGGATGCAGCGTTTTTACTTGGCAGCCTTCCAGCCTGACACTGTTGGCTGTTCTGTGTGCTGTTAGGTAATACGATTCTTGGAGAGGATCAGATCTTGCTGCTTGCTATTGGAAGAGTTGTGGTGAATGCATATGCTGTAGATGTTCAGTGGGTTGCATACTGATGTCATAGATTTCTCCTTCATAGTTCCCCTTGTGCTCCAAGTGCTACAGTGTTCACTAATTTTGGCGGAAATGCTGCCTATCTATATCAAACTAGACCATGCGAAGCACTGCCACCATCTGAAGATGCAGAAGGGTATAGAAAAGTGCATCAAGATCTAAATTACTTCTGACATGATGGCAGAGCATGTGTTTTCCAAACAGTCAGTCCTGGGTTCAGTTCTTGACATGCTGAGTTTTAAAAGATCATCTCTGCTTGAGATCTGGAAGGGCTGCTGCCAGTCAGAGTAGATGACATCAGAATAAATAGGTCTATAAAAGATTAACTTGATAGGAAGAAGGATTTGCCACATATTAATTGGGGCCTGTATGACCTATGTAGTATTTTTGTCCAGGTAATAATGCCTGCTAAATTTTAGTTACTATGACATATGCAGTAGATCAGGGCCCGAAAAGCAGTGCCCAGTGAAGAGGTATCTGAGGTGGCACCTGCAGGCATCCACATTGTTTCTTTTTTTCTGTTTTTTTCAATGTATGTGATGAGTTTATGCAAAATGTGTGCAACTTTCTAGGAATTATGCATACCCTGGAGAAAGTGGGCCAAAATAACTATCCATTTGAAGGTAGTATATGTTTCAGGTACCAAACATATTGTAAGGTCCTCAATCCACTCCATTATTTACTTATTTATTTAAAGTTTGTATAACCCATCCACCACTGACGCCTCTGGATGGCATTTCAGCATTATAGGAGGAGAATGTTTATCCTTCCAATATTGTAAGCTGTTAAAATGACAGAGAATCCATCTGTGCTAACCATTTTTAATTTCCATTAAACATATAGATAATATAAAAGAGGGTGTATGCAAATATTAAAGACTGTACCAGTACAAAGTTTACCTGTGTATTAATGTCCCCCACAAAAGAAGCAACTATTGAACATTGCCTGAACATTGCCCTTTAAAAGAAACTCTTCCCCCTGCCAGCAACGATTTGAATTCAGCAGTCCCTTATTAACGAGATGTTGTGTATGCACAAAACTAAGATTTTTGTTGAATAAGATGCAGCCTAAGATCCACAGATGTGCTGAGTAGATGCCAAAATGGTGGTGCATTGATTGGGCATTTTGAGGTGGTGCACAAAAGCTCTGGAAAAGCTTGGGGACTCCTGCAATACTTGAATAAACATTTACAGTTTTCCTTCTTAGGGAGGTGAAGGGGAACTATTAAACCTATGTATGCTCGCTTCTATATTAAGGAACTGTTCTTATTTACATAGATTTTATTTTTTTGGTGGTATTTTTATCAAGAATCATTATGCTTTGTTAGAAATGATATATTGTCTGAAATAAACCATCATGTGAAGGAACTCACATAATCTGCTGAGCTTTCTAATGAAACATATCTTCGTAACAATCAGAGAGCTAAAAGTTCATTTGCAGCACCCGTTTTTAAATGAAAAGTTCTGTGCTCTTGATGCAAACTCATACTATGACTGCACAGTCACAGAGTTTGTAATGGAAATGCAAAGTAGATAGAAGTGCTTTCTAGGGGTCTTTCAGACACACCCACACCCCTTTTAGGACATTCTTTTTAAAAAAGCCAGAAGTCTGGTCATTTTGCTGCAGAGTTACATCCCTTGAGTATAACAGGTCAGTGTGGTCAAGCTGCTGCCTGCACTGGTGAGGTAGGCGCTCTTGCTTTAGCAGGATTGGCTTGATTTTAACATCCAGTAGGAAATGAGTTGTAAAGAGGTGCAGCCCTTACTGAAGACATTTTTCTGGTCTTACCAGATCTTAATATTAGATGCTTGTGTCCAGGGAACAACTTTCAAATTCCTTTAATTCCTCTTTAAGCAAAATGCAAATATCATTTAAGGTTTGTTTGTTTGTTTATTTATTTATTTAGAATATTTATATGCCATCCTGTCGTGAAGGCCTCAGGATGGCTTATATAAATAAGAATAATATAAAACATAATACAAATAAATTTAAGATGCACTCTGGCTGCAGATTAAAAACATATATAATCCAATATTAAAAGTTATTAAAATATTGTTGGAATAAAAAGGTCTGAACCTGGTGCCGAAAAACAAATAATGATAGCGCCAGGCAGACCTCTCTGGGGAGTGCATTCCACAGATAGGGCACCAGCGCAGAGAAAGCCCTCCTGCAGGTACTTTGCCTCCTAATATCTTTCCCGGAGGGTTCCCGCAGAAAGGCCTCTGCTGCCAATCTCAGGGGATGGGAGGGCAAATAAGGAAGAAGGCGTTCCTTTAGGTATCCAGGTCCCAAGCCGTTAAGGGCTTTATAGGTAATAACCTATAAAGGGTTCTTCAGAATGGCAGCAAGAAATGTTGTTAGACTTAATGAAACCCTTCTGAATTCCCTTGAAATTCCTTACCTGTTTGCCCAAGGAAGAGATCCTAAAGATCCTTTTTGGAGAGATTTCCATGGCCACTCTGCTGCACCTCTGTCCTGGAAATAGCTTGAACCCTTTTCTTTCCATCACTTTCTCTTTCATGCTGCTTCTTTGATCAAGGATTTGTCACTGTCAGAAGTGTAGTTACAAAGAGAGGAAGTTGCCTTTTTGAAGATGCAGGTTACTCTGCGATGCATGCCTTTGTGTAGTGGAGTGGCTGCCAGAACCTGCCGTGGCAGATATGTGCCTCTTGCTGACGCGCTTCCCCCACCCACTGCTTCTGGCACTCCCCTCATCACATGCCTGGCAAACCTAGTTGGTGCCTCTCTTGAACGGGAGCTGAGTAGGTTGGTGCTGATCCGCAGCCACGAATTACCACCACACATTTCATTTTGGGAATGCAAGATGGCAGCCACCCATCGTGGATTAGAGCTGAGCAGCCTTGCGGCTCCCAGATTGGAAGCAGGGCAGCAGCCCACTGTTGTGGAAAAGTCTGAGTGAGCAGTTATGGTAGAAATAGTACTGGATAGTGGCAGTGCCAGCTGGGGCCCAAGTTGGTGTTCGGGGGCCCGTTGGCAGTACTGTGCCAAGAGCTCCCGAAAGGTGACCCTGCCACTGATCAGACTGCTTTGATCAGGGCAGGATTCTCCAGCGCGTGAAGCAATTCTCTTGAAGATCATTAATATCAAAGTAATAGTTGTTTTTTTCCCTTGAAACTCATGCACGCAACTTTAAAAGTAATGTTAGATGCATCCCCCAGTAGTGAATAATGAACTTTTGACTCTATTATTGGACAGCGAGCCAGGATGTTCCAATTGCATTCTTTATAATTTACGGAGCGAACAACACGGGGATTCTTTCCCAGGTGATGCTGAGCATGTTTGGCCTTAATCTTTTTTTTTCACACATGTGCATGTGAGTGACATGCTGTGTAATGTAGGAAGGTAGGCATTTTTAGTTAAAAAAAATCCCTGGAAATTAGCTGTCTAATCTGGGAGATTTGATACAGATGAGGTTTTGAAAAAAAGTATGTGAATGCGCACCATCATAAAGGTGCAGATACAAGCTGTGCAGTCCAACAAGTGTGAAATGTTTTAAATGTAAAAATGTTCATCGTGTATAATATGATATTGTCAGGGAAATGGTGAAAAAAAATTAAACATATCTTGAAAAAGACTCCAGTCTGCAAATGGCTTTAGGAATAATTATGAGGACATTCAAATTATTGCAGTGTGATCTGTCAGAGCAAAACTCTAGGAATAATAATGCAGCCAGAGTAGTTTTGCTAGTATGAATTGATTTGTTCTTGTAAATAGGTACTGCCAATACATGGGTACTCTTGCTTATCTCCAAAACAAAGTTTTAGCTTGTAATGGGAAGTATTAGGCTTTGTGTGATTTGCTTAGGAAGAGAGTCAACTTGTTACTTCCATTCAATGTAGCTATTGCATGAAAAAAATCATCATACTTGTACCACCAGTAGATACGTTTGTATCCAACAGTATATGGTGAATGGTACATAAACCTTTCTTGAAACGTACTTGTGTGGTGTGTGAGCCTTTAAAATGGCAAGTTGATGCAATTTTTAAATTTCTTCCTCTGCTAAGGAGCAAGTAGATGAATGATATGCGTACACTCAAACACATGTATTTAGATTAACATAATAAATATTGTAATAACTTATTTATATGCTCTCTTCCTGTCTTACTTACCTTTGAAATTGTTTGCAGAAGTAAATACTTCTATTGCAAATTGAGTTTCTGTCATTGTGCTACTGTTTGCTTTCAATTTGGCTGACCTGGGCTCTGAGGGAAGTTAGACAAAAGAGGTATACCAATGTTCGTGTTAGCTGTATTGATTTTGCAGCTCAAACTGCCAATTCTAAGAAGTTCTAACAGTTGAATTTGGAGTTAGATATAAGTGAGGAGAGGAGAGATACTCTACAAGATGTATGAGTGATGACTACTTCTGGAGAGGCATAACAACCTTCTCTTTCTGTGTTTGTTTTAATCATGATATAATTAACTGAGAGAAAGCATCACCCGAGCGGAGAGTAGTTAGAATAATGAGCTGCATGAAGCAAGTGAAGGGTGTGTGTGGCGGGGGGGGGGTCGTTGGCCCAAAGGAAACGGAAGCTAGGGAGAAACCGTGAAAAGCCATTTGGGTCAGAGCCAACGGAAGAGGTAATAGGTGGAAAAACGAGAGCTGTAAGAGACAGAGCAAAATTGTGTAGATCTGCAGAAGACGAAAGCAGACAGTCTAAGGTTACCTTGAGTAAGCCATGAATGGATGATGCTTGAGGTAGTGGTTCTGTTTCAGGTGAAAATAAAGGCTTTTTTGTTGTGGACAGAAAGCTGGTGCATGAAGCCTTGCAGATTTTGGTGTGGTTTGGAGGTGGAGAACTGCTGCTTCTGTTTTGCCTTCCCTCTTGTAAAGCTGAAGGTTATGAAATACAGCTTTAGCAAAATTGCTGTATTCTTTAGGAAAGGAATGCTGTACAGCCACTTAGGATTCAGGGTCAGTTTTATCTATCACTGTATTTTGCTAACACATTTCCTTGCTTTTGCCTCAGGGTAGCAGTTTCCAAACACTATAGACTTAATCCTGATTTGGAAATACTCCAATATAGTATGTTCCTCTCAGTTCTTTAGGTTACTTTAAATCAGAAATGGAGATAATTCAAAGTGGAAAAGAGGTGTAATATTTACGATTTAACGAGAGTCTAGTGGTGATGATATGAAATTAACTTGGAACTCCTTTAAATATAAAATTGTTGGTGATACACCTTTAGCTGTATAGACAGGAAGAAGATGATTCCCTGCAAGCATGACTAAGTTAGCTGGAATATCAGGTTATTGGAGAACAAGATCAAGTTCAGTGGGCAGGTCATCCAAGCTTTGCAAATACAAGACACCTTTTTACCTACTCTGAGCAACTTGATAGTTCTAGCACAGCACAATCACTCATTGTGATTCTTCAGTTTGGCTGCTTCGCATCATGGATGTACACAAAAAAAATATGTGTGACAAAAGCAGATTTGTAAGTGAATGCATTGTAAAGGTATAAAGGAAATGATAAAATATAAAAATATCCCGTGTAATAATATTGATACTGCATATAAAAATCTTTTGAAAACAGAATACCAGGGAAAGCTCTGGCTGGTCAGTCAAGGAAGGCATCTTGAAATAAAGTTGCTTTGCGGAAGAACCAAAGGCAACACAGTGTTGGTTCTCACATGATCTCCACAGCCAGGGGTTATATGTTGTCTGCATGCTATTTTATCAAGCAGATGTGATTTTTGCAATCCTACAGGAAACGTGGCAACATCGACTAATCTGGTATCAGGTGTTTAAGGGCTAATGAAATAACCTCTCATATGTGCTGTTGCCAGTAATACTTTTAGGGACAGGCCATGTCAGTATGCGGTCACTAGATGGCTCTTAGCCACTTCCCCAAAGCATACCCACAATAAGTTTCTATTGTTTTAATTGGTTTTAATACCTGTAATATTGATTGCTGACTGTAAGCTGCCTGGGGACTCCTCTAGGATTAGCGGAAGGCATATGCATTTAAAAATAAATAAGATGAATAAGCTTACTGTGCTTGCAAGTCCAAAGTGTGTCATCACATCTTGGAATTGTCTGTCTTCAGGTCATACATGACTTACATGTAGTGACACAATTCCCAAGCATGCACCTCACTGTTTATCTTCAGTGCAGGCCTGGATGATGGAACATATGCCAGTTGTGCAATGCTTAGTATAAATAGGAGCAGATCTTCAGTAAGCAGGGTTCACTGGGGAGCTCACCTGCTCTACAAGGGGCACCTCATTTAAGAGCTTAGATGCTCACCCTGCAAAAGTTGCTCAGACTTTTAGTTTTGCTTGTGGCCATATGAATAGAACTAGCTTATTCTCAGTTTTTTCCCTTGTCAGCCTCTACAAATACCCATTCTAGTAGCAAGATCCGCATTTGGACAACCATGAGTGGCTGTTTGGATGAGTGGGTAGCAAAACTCCCTTTGAAGAGGAATAAAATAAAGCTAATAATGGGGGTCTGGTGTGGGTCTTGCTTAGAGCTGGTTTTCTGCTTATCGCCTGTTACTGGAGGGCAGCTGGGAGGCTGGTTGCTGTAGGAAACAGGATGCTGGACACTCATAAAAGTTCAGCTCAGCTCAGCTGGGTTGAATCTGACACAGAAATTATTTCATTCAGCAGCCTTGTGTTAGTAACAAAGACCACCACAAATACCTTTTATTTTCTCACATAATATGTTATATTGTAATCTTATTTTTTAAATTTCTTTAGCTTTACTACTTGTGTTATCTGATTTGATAGTTCATTGGAAAGAGAGATATACATGTGTGTAATAACAATAATGCATGTAACACAAATGGTAGTAGTACACAGAGATAGATATGCCACCCTTAGGAATCACCCCCCTTGTGTGTGTGTGTGTGTGAGTGTATACACATATGCACAGAGAAAGAATGTATAAATGTATGTATAAAAACATACAAGTAATAACAAATCTAACAATGAAGCAGTGTTTAGGGACTGTGTGTGTTAACGTGTACATCCATGCCAACACAAACTGCTGCCTCAGCACTGTATTTCCCCTTAACCATGTTGCATCAGTGTGGTACTTGCAAAAAACCCAGGGAGATTTCAGATTGTTTTACTGGTGCATGGGACTGAAAGCGGGGGACAGGAAGGGCTGATACTTTACTAGTTGCTCTGCATATTTTCCTTCAGAGATCAGCCTTAGGAGTCTTAGCTTAAGTAGACTCTTGGTTTGGCTTATAGCCATGTCCCATTACTGTGCTGGAGGGGAAAACTAGCTACTAAATAGGAGAAAGTAGAGGTAATAGAACTAGAAGAAAAATAATCAATTTCTGTTCAAAAAAATGTGGGTTGTTTAAAATATGGTTATGGTATAAAAAACTAGTGTGTGTGTGTGTGTGTGTGTGTGTGTGTGTGTGAGAGAGAGAGAGAGAGAGAGAGAGAGAGAGAGAGAGAGAGAGAGAGACTGCAGCTCAACAGTACAGCATGTGACTTTGCAAGGTACAATCCTAAAAGGGTCTGGTAGGAGGTGATTGGAGAGACTTCTCTTTGCCTGCGAATTTGTAGATCTAGCTCATGGGTCCTCAAACTTTTTCAACAGGGGGCCAGTTGAAAGGTGCCAGCGGTGGGCACGGGCCAGAGAGGGGACGGGGTGGGGCGCGCGTGGCTGGCTTGCTCGTACAGAGATTGTTTTCTCCGAGCAAGCCCAAAACGATCTCTGCGAGCAAGCTGCCGCCTCGCCAAGCACCCCCACATGTGTGGCGAGTCCAAAACCTCTGAGGCCAAAATCTCTGAGGCGGGCAGGATAAATGAGCATGACGGGCCAGATCCAGCCTGTAGGCCATAGTTTGAGGACCCATGATCTAGCTGGTTGAGGAATGCTGGAAGTTGTAGGACCTTTTGTCTAAGCAAGCATAAAACTGTATCTTAAGTTAAAGACACTTTATTATTAGGATCTTGATCAAAGAAGCAATCTGCTGAACAAAACTGTCCTCTTTTTAATGAGATCTGTTTCAGCAAATCATTTTTCCCATTTTTTTTCTCTTTGGGTTTCTGCTGAGTATGACCATCAACACTCATGCTACTTACTTCCATGGGGCTGGCAATATTTTAATGATGTGCTTAATATCTGCACTTTTCATAAGTTCTATATTGCATAAAATAGAAAATAATGAAAATAGAAATATTTTAAAAAGAATATGAAAATATTCATTTGGTTCAGTTAGATTTTACTTTGATCTTCTTTTTCTCTTATCTGTCCTGAAGGACTGGATTGCTTTGGTCAAAGCTGCAGCAGTGGCAGCAGCCAAAAACAAAGCAGGAGTTAAACCACGGACCAGTGTGAACAGCAATAAAGACAAAGAGGAGAGAAAGTGGTTTAAAGTACCTTCAAAGAAGGAAGAAACATCAACCTCTACAATTGTCCAGGAAGTCCAGAAGAAGGAAGAGCAGCCAACATCCAGTGAGACATTTGGTACAGCTGATTTTTTATATTCCCTTATCTCCCCAGTGTAGCATGTGAGAGTAATGTTAAGATTTGTCTGGAGTGCTTTGTGTTTGTATGAAAGCAATCACCTGTGTATGAAGTTCCGCATTTCCCCCTTTTTTTAAAATCAAGTTTTATTATTTTTATTATTTTATTATTTTATTATTAAATCCAAAACTAAAAACAACAATTGTTCAGGACATCAGACATACTGGGTCAACATCTCTTTTTTTTACATTCAACAACCATATTCAATTCTACACATAGTCCTGTTTCTCTAACCAATGATAGAAAATATTCTGTGTTTGATAGAAGTATGTATCTTCCTTCTCCTTCAAAGACAAAGTCTATCTGTCCATCTCCGCGCAGTCCAAAATCTTTTTTAAAATCAGCTCTTCAGTAGGTGGCTCTTCGCTTCTCCAGTGCTGGGCAAATGCAATCCTCGCTGCAGTAGTTATATGTAAAGTCAAATATATAGCTTGTTTATCGAGATTATCAGCAATAATACCTAATACAAAGTCTTCAGGTTTAAAGGTTAATGGTTTGTGCAGCATTTCCTCAAGCCATTTGTGTATTTTAACTCAGTATTTGTTTGCCTTAACCCAAGTCCACCACAAATGATAGAAAGTACCAGGGTTGTGTTTACATTTCCAACATCTATTTGACATATTTGGAAACATTTTTGCTAATCTATTTGGTGATAGATGCCATCTGTAAAACATTTTATAAAGATTTTCTTTATAGGAAGAACAGACCTACGTCTGTTTGAGTAAAAAGTATACTTAGCAGAGGTTGTGTTTTTGTGTCTTCAAACATCTATTAGTCTAAGTTCCTCTAATATATTGAAGAAGGATTTTGGAAGTATTCTCCTTTCTTTCTTTCCATTGGTGTCATTCTTGTAGTCTATTTTTTTAAATCAATGATTGCATTAGTCTCTCATTAAGCACAAAATTTGATATTAAGTTTGTAGGAGTGAAGTATGTAATTTTTGATAGAAAGTTTCTTGATGGTCATTTGGAGCATAGATCGCCACTAGGAGCACTTTTTTATTTTTTATTGTAACTTCAACCAATAGAATTCTACCATCTTCATCTGCAAAAATATGCTTAGGATCCAATTTTTCTTTCATATATAAAGCCAAACCTCTTTTCTTTTGATGAGCGGAAGATATAAATAACTTGCCAAGTTTTGGACGTTCCAGAAGTTTATGGTGTTGTCTTTTTATGTGTGTCTCTTGTAAACAAATTACATCTAGGTTCAGTTTCTGAAGTTGAGAAAAAGTCCTTTTCCGCTTGGAGGGTGCGTTTAATCCAATTATAAGTTCCGTATTTCCTGGTAACACTCCACACTCAGTGCCTTGCAGCTGCGGCCACCCTCGCTTTGACATGCAGGTCATTGAGAACTGCTTGGTGAATCAGCACAAAGTTGTAGCCTTGAATGTGATAAGCAGAAATGTCAAATTCCACTTTTTTTTTTCCTTATCACGTATCGGCAAGAGGACACTTGGGTGGGGAGGACATTTATCTTATATTTTTAATCTCTTGTTTGTCCCAGCTCTCTGGAAATGCAGAGAGGAATGAGTTAAGTCTGTTATAACAGTTGCCTGGCGTGAATGCAGTGGTAACCCTGTTTTTGTTTAAATGCTGGGTTACTGGAACCAAGCCAGTGTACTGGTGCACAACATCTCTGTTGCTTGTTTGAGCCTATCAGGTGGATATTTTGTGCTTGACTCGCTTAGTGTTACATCCGAGCCCCACACTCTAGCTTGTGTCTCCCAAACCCAGGGCTTCCCCCACTGGTAGACTCTTATTTTATTCATTTTAAGGTATTTTGTATCGTGTCTTTCCCACCATGGCTTATAACATATGTTCACAGTTACAATGACATACATAAAATATACACACACCATCATTGTAGTATCAACAGGAGAGAACAGTAAAACACATCATTCCTCTAATGCCTCGGGAGAACAGAGAACCAAAAAGCGAACCATGATTAAAACAGGCAGACCTGTCTGGAGGGTTTTAGACAAGCAAGGTCCCACCACAGGAAAGGCCCTTTTACTGGTTACCAACTACCAGTTTCTGAAGGCAGGCACTTCCAGAAAAAAGGCTTCAGAAAATCTTTGACATGTTTGTTGGGTCATACAGAGCGAGTCATTCCTTCAGATATGTGTGTTCTTTATGTTCTTGCCAGTTTTACTCGCTGACTATTGTTAACATCACATGACTCCTTTGTGGTGGGGAGGGGAGCTATGGTGCAATCTTCCAGAGGATGGAAAAATGAAGGACGTCTTTTAAAAATTTAATTATGCTACTGGAGAAGTAGCATTAGCAAAATCATGTTTTTGTGATTCCCTGGCCATTCCAGTTATGCAACCCCTCTCCCCTTGCTAGTGGTCATGTATGTGTAGAAAGTTGTCAGGGGTTTATAATTTCTTACAAAATCAAGACTTTGTTCTACTACAGCTGTTCTAAAGAGAAACTTTTTATATTGTATAGGATGAATACGTTCTAGGTTAAATATTTGCTTTTAGGAGTTCTGAAGTAGAGACTTATTACATGTTTTCTTCTCTTCTTATCAACATAGGATTCCCTTTAGTGGATGTCCCAAAGATTGCCTTTGCACAGGCAGAGAATGCATTAGCGCACAAGAGAAAAAATAATCTAGGCAACTCATTTCAGGCAAAGAGGGCTCGTCTTAACAAAATTACCGGTAAGCTCTCATTTAATTGTTGGCATCCTGGCTGCTTTCATCTTGTTCATTGTGCATGCACACTCCCTCCATCAGCTGTTGTGCTGGAATATTTGTGTGCACTTGCGTGCTTTGTCGTGTCAGGGAACTGTCAAAGCATTCTTCAAGTGACGTGTCCTTTGGTTCTAATTCTTACAAGCTGGCCTATGTGTGGAGAGCTTTATGTGTGTTAGGGGATGGGGCTGCCTTGTGTGGCCAGAGTTACATTGTTATGGCCTGTTTCTTGAATGGCTAAGAACCATCTTGCTTGATCAGATGGAAGGTGCATCAGATTTGTTTCAACAGAGACAATCTTCGTCTTCATAAAGAGGATGAGCATTTTCTGTTTGCCTTCGGTGTCCAATCCTCAAAAGACTAGTTTTGACCACAGCAATTCTGCTACCTGCCATAGCACATCACCGCAATCTTCATTTGTCTAACACTTTTCCCCCATTAAATCTCAAAATAAATTAAATGTGCTTGACAGAAATGTATTTCATAAAGCAAAATAAATTAGCAAACAAAAATTAATCTCATAAAATCAAGATGAGCTTTCACATGCTTGGTCTGTGAAAGCATAAGTTTTGCTCACAGGTTACTGCTCTCCATGTCAATAGACAGGTGCAGTAAAATAAGTAATGGATGCATCCAGAGTGGTATCTGCACCACAACTGCACTGATGTAATTTGAAATGTGTTTCGACAGTTCATATTCAAGAATCCAAATGCCTTTAGATTGCATTTCCAAGGCCACAAATGCCCGTAGTAACAGCATTGTTATGAATGTCTTGGTTTGGGCAGGATATACAGGCAGTCCCCAAGTTATGAATGTCCAAGGTAAGAACAACCTGTACTTAACTAATGAAATGCCAGAAAGCCTATTAAATTTTTAGCATTACTGTGGGAAATCATCACCTCCACACGGAGAGAGGAAGCAAAACGGGAGAGAGGGAGGGCCTCCAAAGCATCACCAGAGAGAGAGAGGAAGCAAAAGGGGCGAGAGGGAGTCCTCTAAAGCCGGCCTTCCTGCCCCACCCACCCAGAGAGGAAAATCTGTCATCTTCTTGCTGCAAAGAAGAAGCACTGGTGAATTTGGGCAGTGGGGAGGCTAGAGATATCAATAGTTTTTACCACTTTTGCAGGGGTGCTTTGTTCCTAACCCCCACAAATGTGGAGGGCTTACTATATGTGATGCAACTTACATACAAGTTCGACTTAAAGGCAAATTTCCGTTTTCTCAGGAACTGAACTCACTGGTAATCTGGGGGCTGCCTGTAAATGGAATATGGCATTTATGAGAAAGATAGAGGGAGAAGGGACTGCTTGGTTGCCCAAGATAGAGAAAATTATTCAGAGGTACATCTACCATAATCAGGTCTTAGTGATGGATAAAAACTTTAGTCTGGATTTATTAAGAGACTTGTGAGGTAAGGATTCTATCAGACTGATGTCAAATGAGACACAACCCTCTGTTAGTGAAAGAGAATGAGGATTTCTTCTAATCCCATATCAGAAGTATCCCATATTGCACCTTTAGTAATAATTCTCCATTAAACAGCTCACTGTTAGTTAACATTCCATTTTTTTATCATCCGACATGAAGTCCTTTGTTCTAAAACCTGTTTAAAAATCCATATTGCCTTGACAGGGTAAGCATTCCTTCGTGGATTAAGGTTATTATGAAATCAGCACTGGTTGAACCCACTGCATCATGTAGATAGGGTTGACTGAGTTTGAGACTTTTGAATTTAAAAGGAGTTTGTTAAAGGAAATTCAGGAAATCTACCATTTGTAAGTTCTTGCACAATAATGGCATTGAAGATTGCATAGGAGTGAGGACTACGAGGGTAGTGTTTTTATTTTGCCCTGTATTCGCAAGTTATTTCTCCTGCCTTTTGGTAAGAGGGGGCAGAAACATTTGTCCCGCAGGAGGAGAAGATTTCACAATACCTAACAGAGAAGCCCTTGGAGCTATTTTCAAGACTAACAACAAAAAGGTTAGGGCACTGACAAGCCTGTTAGTCACTTCTTGTTTTAATGGAGAGAGGTAAATAATTATGCATATGCATGGCATTGGAAAATAATCAATATGTTATATATTTGTGCTAACACTGATATGGTCCTGACACACAGATCTGGTTTACATATAATGAGAAGCCATGCTCAAATTAACCATGGTTTGTTGAATCATGGTTTATCATGATGTCTGAATACAGAACTATGGATCCAGAACTATACTTCCATTTAGCCTGAAGTGCCTGATCCTGCCTAATCTTGGAAGCTAAGTAAGAATGGTCCTGGGTGACTTAAATGTTGTGAACCGCCCAGAGAGCTTTGGCTGTGGGCAGGATCAACATGTAATGTGGCGATGATGATGGGTGTTAACCACAAGCAACCCAGGAAGAGAGTCTGAGCTTTCTTGTAGGCTTGTGAACTGCAAGCAAACTCAGAATCATGGATCACTCATGGGATTTTTTGCCAAGCTATAGAGTCGGAAGGCAGGAAGTGGGTGAAAGAGAAAGGGGACAAGCAGCCCAGAGACTGAAGAAACAAGCCATGGTTTGTTTGGTTGTATGCCAGACAAACTCTGGATAGGGCAACACGCTTTTAAACAAACTATTAGTATTATATTATACTCCATGCCACAAACTCAGATTTTTCACTGAACCTTTTACATAGTATTATGCTTTTCAGTGCGTTTCTCCATGCAACAATACATGTAAACATTCCATTCTATGTGATTTTTGATGTGTTCTTGCATAGTTGTACCATTTATGAGTTGTACCCCATGGATTTTGTAAAATGGCAGTTGTTTACTGTAATAATATGATTGAAAACATTACTTCCCATGGTTCAGCAGTCAGACTTCAAAGAAAGAGGGGCATTTGTAATGTTAGATCGCAAGTGTCCCTGTTTGGAGGGTCATGGCAAAACTGGAACATTTGGCCTTATTTCAGCTGTTGATATAACAAAAATACTAGATGAATTATAATCACCTTCCTGAGAGTATTGAACAATATGTTGCTTTAGGAGAAAGTTTGGTTCATGAAGAGGGCCTTTTACCTATGCTTGCATTTCCACGAAACATGTACCTGGGAGTCCACTCAGATCTATTTGTAGGGTTATGGTTGTCGTGACACAAAATAACCTTATTACAACACTTCTTTTGCTTTTCAGGGTTGTTGGCATCCAAAGCTGTCAGCGCTGATGGTGCTGAAAAGAAGGAAGACAACAAGCAAGCAGCTCCAGTCTTGGAGCAGGTATGAAATTGTAGAGTTTGATTCTTTTGTGAGGGTCCTACTGGAATGTACCATGGGAATTTCAGGTTCATGATGTTAACATTGCCCTATCAGACAGAAATGAATAGGGGCAAAATAATTATTTGTATGTTTACACCTCTACATGGATGGAGTTAATGAAAGCCAGTCTGTGATCCTAAGGATGCATAATGTGGAGATTCAGAATTAAATCTGGGCTTGACTTCTGCCATGTGCGCTTAGGATCAGAGAGCTTGATGTTCCAAAACATGGCTACCTTTATTTTCGTAAGCAAACATCCTGAAAATCAAAAGCTCAGATGTCTGTCCCCAGGTACCATTTCAGTGCAGCTGGAATTGTGCCCACAAGTGGCTTAGAAGACCCTTGACGCAAATTCATTTTGTGCGTTCGACACAGGGTTTTTGACATCTAGCAAAACTTCTTTTGTAAGAAGTTTCCTTTCTTATTGTAAGAATTGGTGTTGTAAACTTGTATGTGTTTTATGAAACTGTTCAATGAGCCATATCTTTTTTTGCTAGGATGTATATTTTTAATAAATATGAAAAAGGAGACATTAAAAACTTCTTAGGGGTCTGGTTTGAGTCCATGTCTGAAGTGGAGACAGCCACATTCTCTCTTGCTTTGCTTGATCAGTTGAATTTTCTCCTGCCTCACATTTTGTACATGACCAGGCTAACAACTAATCATGGGGCTCAATTAACTAACCATGCTAGAAGGCACTGCTTAGGCTACAGTTGGCACATAGGAATGGCTTCCAGGAATGATCCCATGTCTGAAAATGAGCTAATTATGGGTGCATGGGCTTATGTGTGCTGGGGTTGCACAAGCTCTTCCTATTCCCTTCCTTTGGTTGTTCTCTCTCATTCCACTGTTTGAGTGACTGCAATTTGCTTGCACCAACAGCAACAATAGTAGAATTAGTACGCAACGCTGAGTTGCCTGATGTGGCATGTGAATGGCAGCTTGGGCTCCTAATTCAAGAGTCGGCATGCTGGTGGAGGGCAGGAGTCTCCAGCCGCTGAGCTTGCTTTCCAACTTGCAGTTCTTTGGGTGCCATTCCCAAGCAGCAGAATCAGTGCAGCCCATTCAGATGTTCTGGGGCCTGATGATCCTCTTTGAAAGACAGACTCAGCTTACCTTTAATCCAGCTTTATTGGTGCAGGTAGCACTATGTTTTCCCAAGAAATACTCTGGGAACATGCTGCTACATATTTATGCAAGCATGCATGAACTCACATACTCCACTACCTATCTGTCTACCTTCTGTGCTTGGACAGAACCCGTGAATTAAAAGCCATAAACATTGCAAGTTTACAGGTTCATTGCAAGTTGGATGCAGTGGTTTCCTGTTTTGTTTTAAAGATTTTGCACTAAACAGGAAGCAAAAACCAAGAATTAATTCGTGTATGCTGCTCATTTCTGCCATATACTTGCAGTGGCCTCCCAATTGTTCCTTCCCTGCAGTGGAGATGGCCTTAGGTTGAAGTCAGAGAGTGTGTAGATGCAGACAGTGGCGTATACTGGAATCCCGTCCTTAAACTACAACATGGCTGTGCCCTCAGCAAATTTGAGCACTTTTCAGGCATGAGTGACTCATGGAAGTGTTTTGGTGTTGGTCAAGTGTTCCCAAAAGTTAGCTAAAGAGAGACCTATGCCTACTTTTATTTATTCAGATCAGAGCCTTAATATAGCTTTTAATGTGGCTTTTTTTTGGTCTTTATTGGGTAGCATTTTTAAATACTCCTGCCCCTTTTTAAGAAGTGTTTTCTTCTACTGCTTTTTTTCCAAACCAGTCCTTTTTGAAAACGCTTTCACACTGTGTACATAATACTGTTGAAGGAACCTATACAAGCAGCTAAGTTTTTGATTTCTGTCATTGACCCTGTGCTGATTCTGGAAGCACATTGTTTATGGTATGTGGCTTTTATGTAACACCTGGTTCAGATTTAACGACTGGACCTGTGTTTAGAAATTGGGCCATGGGATTGTGTATATTTCCCCCTGCCCACCTGCAGCTGGCACTGGTGTCGTGTTTTGACTACCAACTAGGTGTAAATGGAATTGGATGCTCTCTTCAACTGTGAGCATAATGTTTTCATTTTAGCTTGAGTTGGCAGCCCTCAAAACACATGTCTGGCTAGGAGCAATTTGTATGTCCACAGAGAGTGTGAATGTGATTCCGTAACTCATTCCTGAACAAGGTCTTGGGTAGGCCTTTTGAGTCACTGTGGTGTCAATACATTGTCACAGTATTTATGCATAAGAACTGATAATAGTGTTGCCATGCTGTGCGGCTTCTTAGGGCAATACTACATGTTCCAAAGAATACAGGGCTGCCACCAGAAATGGTAGCCTCACACTGAGTGACTCCTGCCACCTCCATAACGTCTAGTCTTCAACTGGTTCATACCCAGGACTTATCTTTAGCCCCAGCCAGCAAAATGGGGGTCTTTTTTGTTGTTTTACCCTTCTTCTGTTCTATCTCTTATCTTCCAAGCTTTCTTTCTTTCTCCCTCTTTTTTTTTTTAAAAAGCAAAACTTAAGACAAGCTAAGCCGCAGTGGTGGCGGCACTTCCGACATTGCTAACCTTTGGTCCACAATCCCCCATTTGAAGACCAGACTGGGCTAGCTCAGCACAACCTTTGTTCTGATGCCACTGTGCCTTTTCCTACCCCTGTTTTAACAGCATTGGCTGATGCTGGCAAGGGCAGGAAATGCCTTTTGCAAGGGGCATCAGGGCAAGTGATGCTTCTTGAACTCCCTGGGTGAGTTGTGTGGGAGAATTCAACATGGGCATTCCTCTAGTGGCAGCCTTGTGTTGTTTGTAATGTGTAGTTCTAACCTTACCATCTTTTGCATGCTAAACTTAAAGGCTGCAGCTCACATACTGCCTGGTCAGAAATAATGGTAGGCTTTCTAAAATCGGAGGTGCTGAGCAGACTCAGAGTAAAAACGAACCACTGCCCTTAAGTCAGCATTGTTCATGCACCTCTTAGCTACACAGTGTTTAAATTTGCAAATTATAATTTGGTTGTATACATTAACCAACGTAAATCCAAATACAGTACGCAAGGAACAGTGAGCAGGAGCATACAGAATATTTCTCACCAAACGTGCCTGCCAACACATAACAAAAAAGCAATCTTTAGCGATATTCAGTGAATTTACACCATAGGAAGTGGTTTGGGGTATTGTAGCCAATTTCCTTCTGCAGTGTGCTGCTTCCAGACGTGCACCCAAAAAGTAAATTATAGAATGATTGACAACTTGATGACACTTTTGCAAACAGTGCAACATTAACCTTAACTTACCAGGCAGAGCCCATCATGAAAGTGCTGACGGTTCTGCAGACTTTATTCTGTAAGCAACACAATATAGGAAATGTTACATATTTTAAACTAAACTTGGCTGTTCTTATTCTGATTAGAAGTTAACAAAATTGCAGGGTGTTGTCAGCATTACAAAAGAACAGCCTGCAAAATTTGTATTTTCAAGCTCTTTGGTTATATGTAGACTTGTTTTTTAAAAAGATGTCTAGTTATTAGCCAGTGTTCTTGTAATGGGAAGCCACATTTGAGCTTTTCCTCTTTGATAGGGAAAATTCTGAATTTGCATTTTTAAGGCAATTACTAGCCCAGTAGAAGCACCCAGTGGCTGAGTAATGGTACCTCAGGGGCCTGTTGCAGATGTAACACTGGCTTTTGGCAAACCGTGGCTTGCAAATTGGGAGTTGAATTTGTGAAATAACAATTCTGTCCTGTTCCCCAGAGAGTTACTCCCCGACCTGGCATTCAGCATCAGCCTTCATTTTTAAGATTCAAATATGCAGATGCAAACCATGGTTCCTTTTTAAACTAGAGATTGTAACATCTTTTAAGTAGGCTTCATACTCTCGTAAGTGTTGGTCATGGTTGACACCTGTGTTTATATAATGACAGCATATTTAATTCTGAGAAGGAGTGGGAGAGAACAAACTTTGGATGGCTGACTCCCACCTTGCAGGCTGTGTTTTGTGCAGAGTCTGCATTACGTCCGTCTGGGCCAGAATGGCGATATATGGCCCTGCTCTTTACAGCTTTATGGTTAAAAGGTATCTCCATTTTTAAAAGAGTATAATGTGAAGAAGAAAAAAAAAATCAGGCCGGAAGCCTTCTTCGGCTGCAGATTTCCTCTCTTACCTTTTCTGGTTTACAGCTGTTCTGAACCTAAGCCCTCAGGTTACACGATGCAGGTACAGTAGGCTCTTTAACTGTATTAGGGTTGGGCCATGTTGTATTTACTTTTGAGCAACTTACGCTTAGATGAATGAATCACGTTCGTTAACATTTTTTCTAATGTTTTAATTTTGTCCTTGTTAAGAGGTTAAGCACCTTATTAGAACAAGTTTTAAAATCTTGTTTTAAATAATTTTGTAACTTTGAAAGTAATGGTTGCTGTAGTGATGTCTTTCACATATGTGAAGATAAACAATAAAATCATTTATTTACAAGTTATGGCTCTAATTAATTTCTGGTAATTTTCTTAATCAGCATAGATATGTTCTACAATCGTTCAAATGTTTGCTTGATGTTAATAAATTGGGTTCCATCTGTATGAATAACTGGATCAATGGTAGAAGTGGGTAACATCTGAATGAAATGGTTTCGCACCAGCAAGCCCTTTACGTGGTATTTCCAGCATAACACGGAGTGTGACTTTTTAGTATCTAGAGCATGAGTGGACAACTTAAAGGCTTAATATCAGGTGCAAATCCACCCCATCCTACCTTGGATCCCTAATGCCAAATGCAGTGCTAATCTTACTGTGCTTGCGTTATTTGCCATATTTGGTTTGTGCCCACACAACGGACTGTTTCATGGGTATCTGTTGTGGAAGGGAGAGGTGTGTGGCTTGAGGAGACCAGCCACAGTGGCTCATTTTAGAAGTTGTCCACTCCTGATCTGTTACTTTGAATGGTTGGCGGAGCCATTGGAGAAGAAAGCTAGCCATCAGCACCCCAGATGCATTTCTTGCATATGAAGTTGGGAAACAGGAGAACACTTCCAGATTGTAACTGTGGATTTTGTTGTACGGTGATTAGTTTTGTGTATTCATGTTCATATGTATGTATTTATTACCAGAAGTGATAATATGCTCCTGACTTTCTCCAGTGGTTTAATGAAAGACTTTACTAGTCGAGTAAAGGTCTTGCATAGTAAATAGAACATTTTACATGATGTGGGGAAGTAGTTTCCTAGCTATCAACCTAAAATGCCAACATCTGTAAACATAGTCTGTTTCTACACAAAGATCTGTTACACGTATCGGACAAAAATGCTGTGCAAGAAAACACATTTTAGAAATTACAGTATGCTTTGACCATTTCAGTTTGACTGGCCATGCAACTCTTATGGTTTTCTTTTTCTTTTGCAGCTGTCAATTTTATTAACAGTATTGTCACTTGTGATTTCCTAATGCAAAGGCATGTGGTGGCATCCAGATCACCGTATTTTAAAAAAGAAAGAACAGCAAAAAAAGTTTAATTATTGTTAATTTTAAATATTAAAGGGGCACTGCCAACCTCTTCATGTCTTGTATTCAAACTGAACTAAATTGGTGGGGTAGCATGAACAACAATCCCTCATATAAATTTAAGATTTTGGGTTTGACAGACTTGAAGGTGACTATGGGTTTCCTTTGGATATTTATAATACCCTAAAGCTTTATTAATAAAGTCCTTTAGTTAAGAACTGTTGGGGAGGTTCTATAATTAACTGTCCATAGAAACATGGCAAAATTTGTTTTTGTTTTCAAATTGTGGTTAGTAAGTTGGTTGGAAGAACTGCCATTTCCTGCTTATGAGAACTGAAGAGTTTTTTAAGGCCTCACATCCTGATCCATGTGCCATAAGCTGCAGATGTAGCCTTTTTGTGCATGGAGGTGTCCTCCTTTCCTTTCTGTGCAGAATGAGCCATCTGCACTTGCAAAGCAATGCATGTGTGGATCAGTCTTCTGCCACAATTGATGGGAAATCTGAACATGGGAGCTGCAAAGGCACATCAAAGCCCCTGCATCCTGGAGCAAATCACTGGATTGGGATGATGGTCTGTGGCTGAGTCCCTTTTTAACTTGCTTAGATTTTTAATGTTTGCTTAAAAGAAAAACTTCTCTGAAAATGTGATATTGTTTTGCTAAAGTTACTATAAAAAATCAAAGTAGAATGCAAGAGCTGCAATGAAGAAACTGCAATAAAAGTATCAATTTCTTATTATTTATTCAGGAGATATCACCTAAGCCTCAAAGTCAGAAAAAAAATGAAGCTGATATTAGCAGTTCTGCCAACATTCAGAAATCTGCACTGTTGCCCTCAACTTTGTCTTCAGGAAAGGCTCGAAGCAAGAAATTCAAACAAGAATCTGGAGATTCTGCAGGGTGTATAAAGCCCCTTAAATCACCCATTTCCCCAGAGTTAATCCAGGTGGAGGATTTGACCCTGGTCTCCCAGCTTCCTTCTTCTGTGATAAATAAAACTAGTGAGCACAGACATTTTAAAGCATACCATAATTACTTATTACAGTCATATTGGGGAAAAAGGCATCATTGGGCGTGTTTTATTTCATTTGAATGTGGCTTGTTGATAACATAGCTGGGTTTTGAAAAAAGAAGTTGAAATGCAAGTAGAAATGACATGGGTAATACAATATTGAAGTGAAGTCCCCCCAGCCCCTTCCCCCCAAAAAAACTGGCCCACAGAAAGTAAAATTTAGTAAGGCTGTGTCTGGCACCCTGGCCATCTGAAAAGAAGAGGAAAGCAAAACATGATCCAACTCTTCGAATCTTCAAAGGCTTTCTTGTGCAGTCACCAGGACGGGCTGGTTTTTAATCACCCCAGGTGACTGGCTGTGTGCAATATCCATATTATACACAACATGGCATATTGAACTGCAATGTAGTATTGGCCCTGTGTGGTGGTGAAAATTCTTGACAAGGACACAACTCACACGACAGGGAACAGCAAAAGACCACAGCTAATCTCTTTGGAGGGCCGGATGCTTCAAAAAGAGAATATGAGCTATTACCATGCTTTGTTTTTTGGGGGTTTTTTTTTTTTTGTATTTACCCACCTGCCCTCATTGAAAGATCCTGCTGGCTTGATGAGCCCACTGCACCTGCATCTCTTGTTCCATGTGTATATTTTCTCCAGTACTAGTGCGATAGAAAAGAGAGATCAGTTTCTTCCTGGGATGAGGATCTGCCCAAAGGCTGGCTTAGATGGGCCTGGGAAAACCTGCGAAACAGCAAGACGGCTCCATCCAGTGAAATGTCTGCCCTTTTTGAACATACCTACACTTGTTTGGCGTGGAAACCGAGGAGAATAGTGTTTTTTTCCCCTCACCTTGTTTCAGATTCCACCATCCGAGAGTTGCTTTTCTGTCAGAGAGCTTTATCCCTTGTCAACAGTAGAGAATGTGGGTTTCCGTCAAGCATTAAGACTCTCTTGCTTTATTCCTAGAAAGTAGGCCAATGAAGAATGAAAAGAAATTGCTTCTTAGGGCAGCTTGGTTCCAACTGCAGGTGACATTCATTGAAAAATAATTTAAGGTACAATCCAACCATAGCTAAGTACCTGCAAGTCCCACTGGCTTCAAGCAGTTTTTAATGTGCTTACCTGTGGCTGGATTATGCTGTTAATATTTTAAGTAGAAATGGGGAGGATAGGAAAGCACCTGATTTAAATGAGATCTTCTTCCTATTTGCACCAAAATATTTCATAAATAAACACGAACTATTTTCCCTCATGAAATGTTACCGTCCACACTTGTTGCAATTGCAGATGTCGGTAAGTAACCTTCACTGAGGATGGTTTTGTCATTTTATATGGGGGCTTAGCAATGTAGAGAAAATCATTTTAACCATCTACAACTGCTAATCCAGCATTGTATGAGATGGCTCCCACCTCCTGTTGATAGTGGAATAACTTGCATACAAGTTCCTCCCTTAGTACATTTTTCCCTTTGGAAACCAAGAAAATTTTGAAATGTCAGGGCCCATTCAGCATTCAAATTAGTACTTGTCATCTGAGCTTTTCATCTGCTTCTGTGAATGCCAGTGTGAGGAAGTGGTCTGCCCTTAATTCAATCAATTCAGAACATTGAAGTCCTACTGTATTCAGTGGGAAGAGCTAAGTGTGTTCTTGAATCTCCTTCTTTGAAATAAATGAATACTTACCTTTGGATGGGCTGAACCGTCTCTCTTCACTTGCTCACACAGACCAATCCTTAAATTGAATCGAAAGAGGATATGAATCTTTTTTATTTGTGCTGAACTTCCCTATAAGTAACTGTATGGATAAATCAAAATCTGCCACATGTTAGATAATTATGAGATCAAAATATATACATCAAATGTTGCATTAGTAGAGGTTTGTGGGGGGCAGGGGGAGATTAAAGTGCAAGAATGCAAAGGTTAATGTCCCGGTCACAGGATTTACTGAATTAGTGCTAGAATTTGGTAAGGGAGATAGGTAGTAATGATCGCTAGGTTCAGTGCAAAGTAATTCAAGTTGGATCCATTCTAATTTAGTCAGACTCTAGTCCTATTGAAATGAACAGGACATGACCAGTTGAAGTCCCACTGATTTCAGTAAAAGTATTATTTATTTAGCCTTTATATGCTGCCAACTACTCCTAATGGAGTCTGACTTAATCTGCATGCAATACTGTATGTTTAGGCTCTAAAAATACTAGAAATGTGTGATTGCACACACTATCTACCTTCAATCTAAATGGACACTTAGTGAGATTTATAAACAGTTACGGTTTTGGTAAATATCAAATGCAACAGTGAGGGAAACAAGAAAAGGATTTAACATTTGTATAATAGAGTTAAGTGAACTAACAGTAACAGGCTCATTGTCCTTGTTTGGGCAATCACAAACAAAAGCCTGGTAGAACAAATGATAGTATCCAGAACTTCCGAGAGACCATGTCTGTTGTGATTCCAAAGGAGGGCATTCAGCAGACCCACCACCATTCTAAAGAAAGAAACAACATTTTGAATCAGGAAATTCTATCTCTTTGAATCAGACATGTTAAGACATGGTCTGTACGACACCATTTTGCAGCATCCTTTAGTTTTATTTGGCAGTTGAGAAGGAGAGTAAGAGAAATCCAGTAAACTAGCCAGGTTAGGTTATTATAATACTTCCTGTCACCTTTTATGTTAGATGTTCCCGCATAAGGAACTTGCTTTTATACACAATTACTTTATATATTTCTATTTATAAGAGAGTATGCCCACAGATCTGTTCCTTCCAAATTCCAAATCCTTCCACTGCAATCTTAACAATCTCTAGAATTAAAGAGTGACGCTTGGATAGGTGGGAAAAATCAAGACAAGCATCTCATGGCCATTTTAAACATATTAGAGTAAGACAATGACCTGTGTCTGCCTCATGAACATTCCAAGGTCTCTCTTTAGGTCCATCACAACTGAATGCCCTTAAATCCTTCAAAAATAGCCACCGGAGAAGAGGATCACAGCACTTAGCGACTGGTTCGTTGCCTCATGATTCTCTAGAAAAAGTTCCTTCTCCCTCTCCAGTCACTGATGGAAAAGTCTCCATCAATGTCCCAAATCAACCGTGAGCATTACTGGAGGGTAATGTATTTGACTCTAAATAAAGAACCAGAGAGAAAGCAAGTATTAAACATAAGATCTTCACGAGACATTGCCCACCTAACAAGAGCTGACTGGTAGACGATACCTATGCCACTTTAGAGGTGTAAATCAACAACCCCAAAGAAGACAATGCTTGCCTGTTAATATTGTGTTCTTTCTTTTATATAGTTCCCAATGTTGCTCATGTGTCACTTGAGAAGCGTGGACTCTGTCTCCCTCTTGACTTAAGCCGTAACTTGGATATTTCGGCGCTGTTGACTGCAGAGACTGCTCTCTGCAGTGAATACCCCAGTAAAGTGAAGGAAGCTAATCAGATGGTGTTGTGTCATTCTTCTAAAGCAGCAAATGATGGCAAAGTAGCCCCACTGACATCAGGTAAATTGTTTCTCAGCACCTTGCAAGAATATATTTGAGTGATGCAGAAGACCTATTCATGTATTCCATTTCCATTTATTGCTCAATTGTCATCCAAGCTTTTGTAACCCTTCGTGTATTGCTTTCTGAGCTAGTTTCTAAATACATGCATAATGTATCATTGATACACCACCCCAAAATGGTGTATGAACCATGTGTTTTGCAAGTGTATCTTTTATATGTCTATCAGGGAGTTGCTACTTACAAGACCTCTACCTTAAAGTTTAATCATAGCTGTTACTAAGTGTAATACGGGTGCAAGATTTGAGGCTTAAAGGTGCAGCACCGTTGTTTCAGAAGATAGTGGCATCTGTAAGTAGGGTCATGACGGGTAGGTACTTTGTAACCCATTGCCTGTATGTTTGACACTCATGCAAACATTTGTCTATCATATTTATGTTTGAGGCATGCATACACATGCACCTCCAGAAACAAAAGCTAAAATCACCCTCACACAGGTACATGCACAATGAGAGATGGATTGTCTTTGTCCTTTACTGAAGACCACAACAGGGAGCTACGTGTAGGCCACCTGAGAGCTGTCCCTTTCTTTTTCATGAGCTAAGGCTAACCCAAGGGCTCTCAAGACCTTGATGGGTAGGAATTAATTCCAGTGAGCTGGATAAGGAAGATTTTGAGAGCCTTCAGGAGGAGATATTTGAGATGAGTTGGAACAGTGGCCTGGCCTTTGAAACTCTTTAGAAAGAAGTTACGGTGCACCTGTGAAGTACCTTGTGTAAGAAGTGAATTCACAGTTCCATGTGCATTTACCCCTATGACACATCATTGAATTGCCTTGATTAGAAAGTTGCTTGCACAAAATCTTGTTTGCTGCTTCAGAAAGTGTCTAGATTTGGATCCAGTGAACCTGTGAGTAGAATTTATCTGACAGGATATTCTTAATGGAGGGAAGATGGTTTTTGTCAGTTCCCCTTGTGCCCTTATCCCAGTCTGCTTTGGAGTGGTAGAGGACCCTCCCGATAAGTGTGGAAGGTGCTACTGGCAGAATTAAAATTCTATACACCCATCCATCAGCAGAAGCTTCCACTGGCTTGCCATCTCTTCTGTGAATAGAAGGCATCCTTCTGTTTTCAGAAGAGTGAATCTGGATCCAAGCTATAGTCCTTCTAAAGCATCCCTTAACAGCAAGGTTTAAGTGGAGTGCTTTTCTATTAAAATACTGACCAGAATGTTTGGAACCAAGGAATTTA